GACTCTCTCTCATCGATGTTTCTAACTCTCTATCTCTCTCCCTTCCTCTCTGTACAAAACCAATAAAATATATTTAAAAAAATAAATAAATAAAAAATAAAAATTTTTGCACCTAAAACAATACTGAAAAATATGAAAAGGGGAAACTTTTTCAACTTCTGCACTTTCTAAACCCTCTTGCAAAGCATTTTTTCTAAAACATAGTGTATTTTCTTTTTATAGTTGATTCATATGATACTCAGGCAGATAATCCTATATAATAAAGCTGTAATATGCAAATCAACCCTCACAAGATGGCTGCCCATGGCCAGGCCAGCAGGGGGGTTAGTGAGGGACAACCAAACAACTGAATAAGCAGACTACATGGCGCAGAATGATGAGGCTGGTTCCAGCCCTGGTCAGGACGCCTATGGGAGGCAACCAATTGATATCTTTCTCTCCCCACCCCACCCTTACCCTTCTCTCCCTTCCTCTCTCCCCCTCTGTCCTTCCTTCTTCCTTTCCTTCTCTCTCTCTCCCCTTTCCTCACTCTCTAAGATCAATATAAAAAACTGGAGGCCCAATGCACAAAATTTGTGCAAGAGTAGGCCTTTCTTCCCCCGGCTGCCAGCACCGGCTTCCCTCTGGCACCAGGACCTGAGCTTCCCTCGCAGCCCCAGCTTCGTCCAGAAGGACATCCAGTCTAATTAGCATATTACACTTTTATTTTTATACTTAGCCCTTAGTTTTACTCAGTGGATAGAGCATTGACCTGCAGACTAAAGGGTCTCAGGTTTGATTCCAGTCAAGGGCACATACCTGGGTTGCAGGCTTGATCCCTAGTGGGGGGCCTGAAGAAGGTAGCCAATCAATGATTCTTTCTCATCATTGATGTTTCTATCATTCCCTCTTCCTTCCTCTCTGAAATTAATAAAAGTATATTTTAAAAAATAGTTATCTCTTTTTGGCCTTCCCTATTACTACAATATCTTGCTTCACACAGATGTTTCCTTGAAAAGTGATATGTAAACTAAAAAATCGTGTTTGAAATATGTTTAATACATTTGGTGGGGAGAATGGGCTTGCTTATTTATTTTTTGTTGATTTTTTCAGAGAGGAAGGGAAGGGGATATAGAGCTAGAAACATTAATGAGAGAGAAACATCGACCAGCTGCTTCCTGCACACCCCCCACCTGGGATGTGCCCGCAACCAATGTACATGTCCTTGACCAGAATCGAACCTGGGACCCTGCAGTCCGCAGACCAATGCTCTATCCACTGAGCCAAACCAGTTTCGGCTGGGCGTGCTTTTTTTTTTTTTTTTTTTTTTTTTTTTTTAAATATATTTTATTGATTTTGTACAGAGAGGAAGGGAGAGAGATAGAGAGTTAGAAACACCGATGAGAGAGAGTCATCGATCAGCTGCCTCTTGCACACCCCCTACTGGGGATATGCCTGCAACCAAGGTACATGCCCCTGACCGGAATCGAACCCGGGACCTTTCAGTCTCCAAGCCGACGCTCTATCCATTGAGCCAAACCGGTCCCGGCTGGGCCAGCTTTTTAAAGAAACAAATCGCATATATTTCTCTTGGGAAGAATCTCACTACAAAATAAATATAAAAGTTAGAACTGGTGAAGAAAGCTTTGTTAGCCATGGGGTAAAGCATTACTATATTCTGTCAAGTAATTTTAACAGCTATATTTTGTGCTTATGTGTACTATTTTTATTTTGCTTTCATATTATGTGGTCCCAGATATTTTTATTTAAAGTTATACATATTCACTATCAATTTATTTTCTTTCTTAGATTTGAGTTTGATTCCCTTCTCTCCCCCCCCCCCCCACACACACACAATATCTCTCAGGTTTTTAGTATGTATAAGTAGGTTTTTCATTTTCTACTTTTTTGTGTGCTCACTCAGCCTCACCATCAACAGTGGTCTTGGGTTCAGATTAACCATTGAACTCATGGGATAAGATAGCTCACACAGCAGTAAGTTTATTTACTTTAAGAAATGATACAGGACAGAAAATAGCATGGCTTGCACAGCAGCAGCAGAATGGAGATTTCATAAATTCGAGGCAGAGCTTGCATATGTCCAGGCATCTTACACTTGATATGTTTATTGCCCCAAGGAACAGTTGGTGTGGAAGCCATTACCTCTGGGGTCACTTCAGCTTTTTAACCTTATCCCCATTCTTCAGTGCAGCAGCATGTGAGTGATACTAGAAAAGCTGTCTTGACAACTAACGACAAGTCCTTAACCAAGTATATAATTTTCACTTATGTCACAAAAATGTAGAACACTCCTATAAATTTTGAGTTAAGCTTCAAGATTGATTTGGTCAAGTGCCAAAACATTAGATGTTCTTGAGGCTAAAGGAAAGGTTATAAACCAGCTGTAACAAAACACCATGTTATTTGCCCAGCTTCAGCAATTAATTTCTGGCCAGTCTCTTTTTACCTATACCTGACCAATTTTCCATCTTCTGTTATCTTGAAGCAAATTCTGGGCATAACATTTTATTGATAATTATTTAATTATTTCTAAAAGATACTCTAAAAAATAACCAATACATGCCCAGCCAGCATTGCTCAGTGGTTGAGCGTCAATCTATGAACCGGGAGGTCACGATTCTATTCCTGGTCAGGGCACATGCCCAGATTGTGGGCTCGATTTCCAGTATGGTACCTGCAGGAGGCAGCTATTTAATCATCTCACATCATTGATGTTTCTCTATCTTTTCCTTTTCCTTCCTCTCTTAAATCAATAAAAATAAAAAACCAATACCATAATAATATGAATACATAAAAATATACCATATATTTCTGAATATAAAGAATTCTGTTTCATTTTCTGATTGTCTCAATGTTAATTTTTTAATATTTGAATCCAAATAAAGTTCAAACATTGGGGTTGACCTTACAATTTTTTTTTTTTAATAGATTCCAACACCATCTCCCTATATATTTTCTTGAGATATATTTGTTGAGTTGCCTCTAGTCATTTGACCTGTAGTGTTTCCCATTATTGTACATGCTGGATTTTACTGATTGCACCCGTATGTTATGTAATATATTCTTTTGTACTACTATTTCCTAATAGCTTTATGGTTATAGAAAGTTAATCAGATTCAGTTTTGTTTTTAATGTTTTGATAGGACCAAGAGTCGCACAGGATAGGTTGTCTTTGTTCCTGCAGGAACCATTGGTGATCAGTGTGCCTCATTAGTTGTAAAATGATGATACACAAGCTGTGATTCCTACATTTATTACTGGAATACTTTTATTTATTTATTTATTTATTTATTTATTTATTTATTTATTTATTATTTTATTGATTTTGTATAGAGAGGAAGGGAGAGATAGAGAGTTAGAAACATCCATGAGAGAGAGTAATCGATCAGCTACCTCTTGCACACCCCCTACTGGGGATATGCCCGCAACCAAGGTACATGCCCTTGACCGGAATCGAAACTGGGACCCTTCAGTCCCCAAGCCGACACTCTATCCACTGAGCCAAACCAGTTTTGGCTATTACTGGAATACTTTTGATAAACAGCATCTTCCCTTAATTTACTACTGTATTTAGTTAAGCAGTGATACAGTTTTAATAGTAAAAGCAGTATAAATACTTTGTATTTTATTTACCAGTATCATTGTTAACTAACTAGAGTCCTGATGCATGAATTCGTGCACAGGTGGGGATCAGGACTGAGGCTGACTGGTGTCAGGGAAGGTTGGTGGGCTGGCGGGGGGGGGGGGGGGGCCTTAAGGTTGGCTGTCGTACTGCACTGACCACCAGGAGACAGCTCCTGCATTGAGCGTCTGCCTCCTGGTGGTCAGTGTGCCTCATAGTGACCAATCGATCAGTCATTTGGTTGTTTGGTCACTTAGACTTTTATATGTATAGATGGGTTCTAATGTAGTTGATCTGTTCCAATTTATTGTAGTTACCCATATAACAATGGTGTCCCATCTTTGGCTTGAATTCACCCTTTAAGTCCATTGTTTGAATTAGAATGCTTTTAGATAAGTCAAGCTCTATGCAGTTTCTCATATTTTTCACCAATTCCTTTATATTATACCAGGTTAACTTCACTTATTTATGTTAGTTGACTATTCCTTAAAGCATCTGATTTTTGGGACCCTTTTTTAAAATTATTACTTAAACCAAAGTAAGATTTTAATTTGAAGAAATTTTTTGTAGAGATCTCAAAAATAGAGTTATTAATTATTGTCAAATGACCATCCTCTATTGTAAGTGTACTCTTCTAGGCTCCACTGAATTCTTATATTCTCTTTTCATAGTACGTAACCTATTTGTGTTAGAACTTTCAAATTGCTAAATTTCTTAATCATTAGGGGAATGCTAAGGCATGGAAACATAAGTCCATGCTAACGAAATCATATTTCTTATCTTTCCACATTCATGCAAAGTATTTTTCTGCTGTTTTTCTCCTATTCTACCTGCAGTCTTGATAAGAGAAAAAGTTGAGCACTACAAGATTAGAATCTCGGATGCTTAAATGTTGCTTCTGTGCTTTTTGAAAAACTATGCTATCAAATGTTTCCCAAAGTTAATTTAGTTTATTGTTATAGACTTATCTATTATTTTAAAATAATTCTACAAGGTTGGGGAACCTTTTTTTTTTTTTTTTTTTTTTTTTTTTTTTTTTTTTTTGCTTAAGGCCATGTGGATGTTTATAACATCATTCTCGGGCTATACAAAATTATCAACTTAAAAATTAGCCTGCTATATTTGGTCAAACATTTAATTAACTCACTCCTAATACCTTGGCAGGGCCAGACCAAATGATTCCATGGGCTTAAATAGCCATTGGGACCTTCAATAGATACAGCTCTGGATTCTAATCTTAACTCCTTTCCTGTGACTCTCAGTTCAAATAGCTAGATGGACTAGCTATTAAATACTGGACTTAGAAAATATAAATTTCCACTTAAAATGTTTATCTAAAATGTGTTAACCAAAAGACCTTTTTGTTTCTTTATGAAAGCTAAGAAAGAAGAAAAGAAAAGGCATAAATCCTCCTCCTCATCATCATCCAGTGACTCAGATAGCTCAAGTGATTCTCAATCCTCTTCTGATTCTTCTGATTCTGAAAGTGCTTCTGAAGAGAAATCAAAAAAAAGAAAAAAGAAACATAGGAAAAATTCCCGAAAACACAAGAAAGAAAAGAAGAAGCGAAAGAAAAGCAAGAAAAGGTCTTAATTTTACTTTTTCAATACTAGCTTTATATTCTCATTTCCTTCTGTTTATAAATAAATCAGTTGAGATTTTGGATCAATTATATGGGAACATTAAAATAGAAATATTTTATAGCATGAAGTATTTTGGTATTCTACAGTCTCTAGATTAAATTTGGGTATATTCATTTTCATTTTTAAAATCAGTTAATTTGTCTGTACTCAATGTAATTATACTTTTGGTTTTCTAGATTTGTAATTATGGATGGAATATGAGATTAGTGACAATTGAAGTAAATCAAATATTGTTTTCCTTATTTTTTATAGCAGTCTACCTTGCTCTTTTGTCCATCATTTTCTTTGCATAGTATAGAAAGCAGATGTTACTGTATTTGTTTGCCTTATTTTGTCTGAAATAATGTGTTAGTACTAAAATTTGTCTTTATATACCTATTTTCTCTAAAACAACTAATTTCTTTACCTGCATTTTAAGTTTATTTAAGTTTACATTATCCAAGGAATTTCATATTTTGGGCCCATTTTAGTGAGAAATCTTTTTCGAAACTGTAACAATGGAGACGTTTGGTTTTAATTTTTGGTTGGTTAGTTGGTTTATTACGGGTATAGGATGGTATATACATTGTGATATTTTATTTATTTTTAAATATATTTTTATTGATTTTTTACAGAGAGGAAGAGAGAGAGATAGAGAGCCAGAAAAGTCGATGAGAGAGAAACATCGACCAGCCGCCTCCTGCACATCCCCTACCAGGGATGTGCCCGCAGCCAACCTACATGCCCTTGACCAGAATCGAACCCGGGACCTTTCAGTCCGCAGACCAACACTCTACCACTGAGCCAAACCGGTTTCGGCTACATTGTGATATTTTAAAGAAAAGAAATATTAACAATTGGAAATTTGGAGTAGACGCATAATAACCAAATGAAACTTTTGTGTTTTTATTAAGCCCATCTAGTGAAAGTGAGGCTGAAAATCTTGATGCACAACCTCAGTCTACGGTCCGTCCAGAAGAGATCCCTCCTATACCTGAAAATAGATTTCTAATGAGAAAAAGTCCTCCTAAAGCTGATGAGAAAGAAAGGAAAAACAGAGAAAGAGACAGAGAGAGAGAGTGGTATGTGCATGTGTATGTGCCTTACAATCTTTAACATAATATCTCTTTCTTAAAAAAGTGTATTCTTATTTTAGACAAAATTTAATTGGTGACTTTGTCACAAGATTGAAATCTTTCTTTTAGAGGGTAATGTTCATAAAGCTCCTTTTTGCTTGTAACCACATAGGTAAAAGGAAAATTAACAATGCAAACAGATTTTGAGTAAAAGTTACTTTTTAAGAAAAATAAGCACTGTGAATGCTAAAAAGAGGTTAAGTGGAATTCTAAACCAATTCCATTTAAAAATGAGATGTGTTTTACTGTGTTATTTGTAGATATTAAACTTTTTTCTTTTTAAAATGAACTTCATTGAGGACAAATTTACATAAAATAAAATGCACCCATTTGAAGTGTACAGTTCAGTTATTTTGTATACATTAAACTTTTAAGTAAAAACCACTTTCAGTTTCTCTAATAGGGAAAAAATTGTTTTCTTTGCATGACTTACAATATTTTGGTAATTAAAATTGATATCATGTTCAAATACTTGCAGAAATTTTCTACATAAATGTTGAAGTTTTTCTCTTTATTTATGAACAAAGAAGAATGTTATAAAAGTAATAACAATTCTGAGCGATCCCCCCAATACTTTCATAATACAGTAAAAACACAAAATTAAGTATTTGTTATTTTAATATAGATTGAATTTTATTTTTCCTCAGGTATTAAGTTGTTTCTAAGAAAGTAAATATTAAAGAGAAAATGTTTGAACATCCTTACTATGACCTTTTCAAATATAACTTATATGGATATTGTTAATGCTAACAATATTAACTCATTACTTGAAAATGGTTTTCCTTTTTGGGATAAACCATGGTATAAAAATTTTGCTAATTCAAAAAAAATTTTTTTTGCTAATTCAGACTATATTGTTTCTGTTTAATCTCAATAATTATACTTCACTATAATTTTATTATCAATGGACAACTACTTATCCTACATAAGTAAAAGACTAATATGCAAATAGACAGAATAACAGAACGACTGGTTGCTATAATGCACACTGGACACCAGGGGGCACTCAACGCAGGTGCTGCCCCTGGTGGCCCCTGTGCTCTCACTAGGGGAGCGATGCTCAGCCAGAAACTGAGCTCACGGCTGGCAGACACAGTGGTGGTGGCTAGAGCCTCTCTCGCCTCTGTGGCAGTGCTAAGGCTGGCTCCCAGCGGGGAGGGCGCAGGCTGGGCTGAGGGAACCCCCACCCCCACCCCTGAGTGCACGAATTTTGTGCACTGGGCCTCTAGTAAGATAATAAGGTACTTTGGAATAAGGTAGTTTTAAAACTATTCTTTCAGGCATATGGCCTATACTGAGCTCTTCTGATGATTTTCCTTAGCACTGTCAGGTTAACTTCATCTTAGTAATGATTATGTAACAATGTTTCTCAACAGGGATTTGGGGACAAATTAGTTCTTCTTCCTCATGCATTACAAGGTTTTAGCATTCCTCACTCCTGGGCACTTAGTACCAATAGCACCCTCTTCAGACATTGACTGCTGAAAAAGTGCTTCGACTTTTCTAGATAACTGTTAGACATTGATAACATTCCTGGTTGAAAACCACTGATTATATATGATTTTAAATTTATTACTTTAAGTCAGCAAAGCTATATTTCCCAGATTTATTTTTATAAAATAATGTTTTAATGTTCTCTTTGCTTCCTTCTAGTAATCTACTTAACTCCCAGCCTGCTTCATACCAGAGGAGACTTTTAGTTACTAGGTCTGGCAGGAAAATTAAAGGAAGAGGACCGAGGGTAGGTCATTCTTTTCCCATAAATCCTTTTTTATTTATTTCAGAGAGGAATAGAGAGGGAGAGAGAGATAGAAACATCAGTATTGTGAGAGAATTATTGATTGGCTGCCTCCTGTACACCCCCTACTGGGGATCGAACCCGGGACCCTTCAGTCCACAGCCAACAGAGCCGAACCATTTTGGCCTTCCCATAAATCTTAATAGTATTGCATTTATCTTAAAATAATTTGAGTGTTTTTTAAATGGTTGTATATGTAAGTAACTAAAATTCAGAGTAAGTGTGGGTATTGAATTATGTTCTCTTTTCATAGTAACTTGTTTGTATTAGTACTTCCAAACTTAAAATCCATGGGATGTTAATGGATTTTTACAAAACATGGTATAAAATGAAATGAAAGTCTTTGCTGTGCCCCCTTGTCACTTCCTGACCACTATATCTCTACTCTTGTTAAAAATTAACTCTATTCTTACATTCCATCTCTTTTTTAAAATATATTTTGTTGTTGATAGCATTACAGATATCTCCTCTTATTCCCCCTTTAACACTTTCCTCCCACACACCCCCTTTGTCTTTACTAGATTGTCCCTGTCAGAATTTAAATATCTGTGTTTTTAGCATTTTAGAAACTTAAGTATACATAATATATTATTTATTTACTTCCTGCTCATTCCTCAGCCATTTCAGTTTGTCATCTACCATTCTGCTGAAAGCAGCACTTGCCCTGTGGTTAGCTTCCTGTCACAGAATCCAGAGGATCCTTTCAGTCTTTGTCTTAATATCCCTACCTATAATACTCTTTATTTTTTCTTTTTTTTTTAAAAATATATTTTATTGATTTTTTACAGAGAGGACGGGAGAGAGATAGAGAGCTAGAAACGTCGATGAGAGAGAAACATCGACCAGCTGCCTCCTGCACACCCCCTACCGGGGATGTGCCGAAACCAATGTACATGCCCCTGCCAGAATCGAACCTGGGACCTTTCAGTCCACAGACCGATGCCCTACCACTGAGCCAAACCGGTTTCGGCATGTAATACTCTTTTTACTCGCATCATATTTTCTTCCTATCTCTGGCTATTCTATCTTGCATTTCCAGTGCCAGTTCATACCCTCTACCCCACTTTTAAATATTGTGCTATAACAGGTTTCCAACTCTTCTCATTTTGCATATGCTCCTTGGATAATCTCATCACTCCCATGGCTTCAGTGGCTCCCTATATGCTGATAAATGTCAAATTTTCATCTGTTCTTCTCTCACCCAAGCTTATTTGATAGCCATTTAGTTGCTTAATGGCCACCTCAATTCAGTATATACAATAAGCACTTTCTCTTCAGACCTCTTCTTCCTTTAGATTCCTGGACTCATGGCAGCCACCACCACATGTACAGTTACTTAAATTTCAAGCCCAAGAATCATTTTGCTTTTCTCCTTTCTTTGCTACCATATATATCTTATTCATCACCAAGTCCTCTCAGTTTAACCTCCTTAATACTCTGAAATCTATCTGCTTCTCTCAAACCCCACTCCAGTAATCTTAATTCAATTCATCATATATTCTCAGAACTGTAAATATCTTCCTAACTGTTCTCATGGCAGTTCTCAAACTTTTTTGTCTTAGGACCTCTTTATAATCTTAAAAACTATTGAGGATTCAAAAGAGCTTTTGTTGATATGAATTATATCTATTAAAATTTACTCTTCTGGAAATTAAAACTGAGAAGTATTTAAAACACAAGACTACTATATATAAGCACATAAACTATTAACTATGAAAGCAAATACATCAAAATATGCCATGTTGTCTCTGAAAAATTCCATTGTGAGATAAAAAATGAAAGTGGAGAAAGCAAATAATGTGATATTATGAAAATAATTTTGACCTCACAAATCCCTAGGCCATACTGAGTCTTGGGATTCCTAAACCACACTTTGAGAATCACTGATGTAATCTTTTCTCCATAGTGATCATTTGAAAATGAAAATCTAATTATGTCACTCTTTTTTGTTGTCCTTATGATAAATCCAAAATTATTACCATGACCTACAAGACCTCACAAAAGCTAGTCCTTGCTTACTTCGTCAGATTATCAAGTGCTACTTTCCTTGGCAGTTTTGTCTTTGGCCACACTGATCTGTCTTCTGATCATTTCTAAAACATGCTATTTCTATCTCAGGACCTTCAAACATGGTATATTTCTATGTCTAACATGTTCTTCCTTACCCTTTTATCCTCACCCCCTTTTATCTCTTTCCTCACCCTTAGTATCTCCTCACATATTCCATAGCTTTTAGCTTTTACTTATTATTTTAACTTCTTTCCCCTTTCCTTACACTAGATTAGATATTTTTGTTATATATTCCCTGAGCACCTTTTACTTCTTTTATATTCATTCTTTATGAATATATGTTTCATATCTGTGATAATATGTCTGTTTCTGTTCTCTTAACCTTGTAGAATGTAAGTTCCAAGGGAGCAAAATCAGGTGTGTCTTGACTCACTAATACTTCGTCAGTATGTGGTCGAGCAGTTGGCCATCCTAAGAGTAGAAAAAATACTGGTTGAATAAATGAGTATCTGTACATTGTCTTGTTTTTTTTTTTTTTTTTTTTTTAATAATATGGAACTTTTTGCTTTGATGCATCAAGGTCACATATTTCCAATTGGAACTTGGCAACTTGTGAGAGTTCTTAAACCTATCCTGCTTTAGCATCATTTAAATAGACAGTTCTCTAGAGAAGGCTTGGGTGGCTATAGTTTCTGTGGTTAATGCTTATTTGGAATTTCAAGATGTTTTTGAAGTATTTCTTTCTCATTGACTTCCTGTCTGAAAATTGAAGAAATTTGTTATTTTAGAGGACATAGAAATATCACTTTATTTGAACCTAGAAATATATACACTTCAGTTATGGTATAATGCTTTTATATTTTTCTAAGTTAACTTTTCCCCTTTTTATTTCTTAAGCGTTATCGAACGCCATCTAGATCCAGATCAAGGGATCGTTTCAGACGGAGTGAGACTCCTCCACATTGGAGGCAAGAGATGCAAAGAGCTCAAAGAATGAGAGTATCAAGTGGTGAAAGATGGATCAAAGGGGATAAGTAAGATTTAATTATATTATTTCAAAGGTAGTGAATATAAATATATTTTTACTAAAGTGCATCCAGTTATTTGTAGCCGTTTCTGGGTATCTTAAGGAAAATAGAATATCATTTTAGCTAATAACACCAGTTTTTCTTAATAAAAAGGCTCTTTTTCCCCTCTTACATTTTAGGAGTGAGATAAATGAAATAAAAGAAAATCAAAGAAGCCCAGTTAGAGTAAAAGAGAAGAAAATAACTGATCTCAGGCATGTGTCTGAGAGTCCAAACAGAAAAAGTGAAAAAGAAAAGAAAATTAAAGACCATAAATCTAACAGCAAAGAGAGAGAGGTCAGAAGAAATTCAGAGAAAGAGAAAGATGATAAGTATTATAAAAACAAGGTGAAGAAAAGGGCCAAATCTAAAAGTAGGAGTAAAAGCAAAGAGAAATCAAAGAGTAAGGAAAGGGATACAAAGCATAATAGACATGAAGAAAAGAGGATGAGGTCAAGGAGTAAAGAAAAGGATCATGAGAGTACAAAAGAAAAAGAAAAATCCGATTCTAAAGGAAAAGATCAGGAAAGGAGTAGAAGTAAAGAGAAGTCTAAACAGTTAGAATCAAAGAGTAATGAGCATGATCATAATAAAAGTAAGGAAAAGGATAGACGTGCACAGTCTAGAAGTAGAGAACACGATACAACTAAAGGCAAACACAGTTACAATAGTAGAACAAGGGAACGAAGCAGAAGTAGGGACAGGAGCAGAAGAGTGCGATCCAGAAGTCATGACCGTGACCGCAGCAGAAGCAAGGAGTACCATAGATACAGAGAGCAGGAGTACAGGAGAAGAGGAAGGTCACGGAGCCGAGAGAGAAGAGCTACACCAGGAAGATCGAGAAGTAAAGATAGAAAGAGAAGGAGAAGAGATTCACGGAGCTCAGAGAGAGAAGAAAGTCAAAGCAGGAACAAAGAAAAACATAGAAACCAAGAAGGTAAGAGTTCACACAGAAAAGAAAATTCTGAGGGTGAGAAGAGAATGCACTCTAAAAATCGTGATCATAATAGTTCAAATGATAACAGGGATAAAAAGGCTGATAGAGATCAAAGTCCATTCGCAAAAACAAAACAAAGTAGTCAGGACAATGAATTAAAGTTCTCCACATTAAAACAGAAGGAGGATGAGAAGACCAGATCCTCAGTGGAAAAAGAAAACCAAATATCAAAGGGTCAAGAAAATGACCACGCACATGATAAAAATAAAAAATTTGATCATGAATCAAGCCCTGGAACAGATGAAGACAAAAGTGGATGAGTGAGTTGTATAAACTTATTTCCATTCTGTCTCAGATTTTAAGTTTTAGAGACTTGCTGATGAATCTCCTTTATGTTTTTTCTTCTTGTTGTTTTGGGTTGTTTATGTTTGTCCTTTTTTTTCTTTTTTAACGTGGACTTTATTGAGTTGATCTTTTGATAATCTGCAAGCTGGATAATTTGTACTGCTAAAGTTTTAATAAACTTGAAATGAGAAAAACACTTTGGTGTAATACTGTGTGCTGTGTTTCACTATTTCATGTATACATTTTTGTGTTGCAACAATCAGCCAATAGCAAACAAGCTATTAATTTGTGTGATCAGCCATTTGGAAACAAATATAACTGATTGTTGGAATACATTGTTACAAAAGCTCGTGTTACTCATGATTAAAGTAACGTTAGAAGCCACTTGATAAAAGAAGTCTTATAAAGATTTTCTGGTTGGATTTATGGCTTATAATAATTTTTATGCAGAAACAGGATCCTAATAACTTGATATCTTAAGGCATTACTTTTGATGTTATAGCAGTTTGTGCTTTAAAATAGATATTTAGTTCTTTATATAGTATTTCATATGCTGTTCTTTATAATTCCACTCATAGCTTGTTTCATGATATTTTTCATGTCTAGTTCTGTTTTTAACTGTAAAAATAGTTCAATTTTTTTTTCAGTTGATGTACTGATTAAGCTTGACTTACTGTTACATAGCATCTGACAAGTAATCAGACTGTGATTTTCAATCTGTGTTGATTTCATTTGCTTTTAGAGAACCTTGTTTATTATCCTTCTCCAAAATGGAAAAATACTTTTCTCACTAAAGCATACCAGTTGTGCAACTCTTTTAAGTTTGATTCTAAAAGTTGTTAGTATTGACAAGACTTATCTTTTTTGGTCACTGACCTATAAGAGTTGAGTATTAATTCTGCATGTTTTGTTTGTGTTGTTGGGGTGTGTGTGTGTGTGTGTGTGTGTGTGTGTGTGTGTGTGTGTGTTTAACTTAAACTGCACTAATTCTCATAGCTGTTTCAAATGGCAAGAAAATATCTCTTTAATATATGTATCACAGTAGGCTGTAGCATGTTTATGACTGGTTTCTTCCTATTCAGGTGATTTATACCATTATTGTTAGCATTATTTTACCTAGGCATGTATGACATTGCCACTTAGAGTAGAAAATTGCAAAATTTGATAGCTAACAGAGTTAAACACAAAAGATATCTAAAGTCCATTTAGAATTTTATGTGTTGTACATTGCTATTTTTGTGATGTGTGGCCCTTTATTTTGTAATTTCTAAATAAAATACTGAACATCCAGCAAACACAAAACCTGCCTCATTTGAAAAGGAATTTTAGAATTCCAATTAATAATAACTTCTAGAGTGTTTTGTACTTTAATATTTGTCAATATAGTGTCAGTTTCTTGGTAAACCCAGTAGCTAGTCAATGCTGTTAGTACTAAATGAAGCAGTGCTTAACATAATGTGATTAAAACATTAATGATACAGTTGGCATTATGGTAGTAGCTGTTTGCATAATGAATAATAGGGTAATTATATGATTGTAATTCCTTGAAACAAATATCCACAGTGGAGTCTAATTTTTTTCTTGATTATAAAAATAATAGGTGTTTATGATAATTCAGGATGGTTGATTCCTTTGAAACTTTGAACACACACCCACATTAAGGTAATTAATTGAGTCTAGAGTGTATAATCTCTTACATATTTTAAATTAGTTATTGTTTATTTTAAATTCAGTACGTTGCATTTTTAAAATATTTGTTATATACTTTTTGCACATCAAGAAAGATGCTATTTAAGAAAAGATTTCTAATCAAGTTCTATTTTTTAAAAAATGCCATGACAAATAAACATACTTCTGTATTGTCTGATCCCAGACCTTTATCTACTAAGAATTATAGGCAAATAACAAATAGGAGAAAATTTAGTAATTTCTATAAGTATTTATATCAGAAGACCAACTCCATGCTAAGCCTTTAAAAAAAAAAAAAAGCTTTTATTAGCCATTTTAACAATAGATCAGATTTTGGCAAAGGAGATGATAGCTGTCAGGTAAGTTTTATATTCAGAATATAAAGAACATTTAGAAAATGATTGAATAGCATTTACTGTACCTCAAGTCTTCCTTTGCAACTGAATAGCACACAGCTCAAATGGTCCTTTTCTTCCACTACATTTTTAATAGTTGTACCACCTTTAGTTATTACTTTGAACACACTTGGTTTCCCTAAAAGACAGCTATTTACTACCTTCTTGTAATTTTATAGTTATGTTTGAGCTTACAGTTTACCTCTAAGATCTTTTTAAATATATATAATTAGTTTCAGAGGGAGAGGGAGAGAGATAAAAACATCAATGATGAAAGAGAATCATTGATCAGATGCCTCCTACATGCCTCCTACTAGGGATTGAGCCCTCAACTCGGGCATGTGCCCCAACCAGGAACAGTGACCTCCTGGTTCATAGGTCAATGGTCAACTACTGAGGCACACTGGCTGGGAACCTCTAAGTATCTTTGACTTAATATCCTCCTAAAGGTTTAAATAAATTTGTCTTTATTGCCTGAGAAATTTTTCATGATTATTATTTCAAGTGAACACTTTTCTTCCACAGAAATTGACACAACAGTGATTAATACTAAAAGACCAGTAGATAGAGGAGCTGCTTGATTGCTTTAACATATTTAAAAATATACAGTTAGAGAATTCATACAGAGACCATTGTAGTTCTTAAGCTCCTTAAATCAAAGCCTTCACAGAATTTTTTTAAGAATTTGATAAACCTATCCCTGCACAAGTGTGATATTGATTCATATTGGCTTTATTGAATTGCTTTTGATTCTTGTACCCAGTGATAGATAGGAAACTGAAAAGTTAAAGATTTCCTAATGTTAAGGACAGGAACACATTGGATTTCTGGTATTTTGAGTATGGTATTAACTGACAGTTCTAGTTTGTTTTCACATTAGTATATTTTTTAATAAGGAGTTCGTTGTGCTTCATCCTAGGTGGCAATTTTTAAAAATATATATTTTGTTGATTTTTTACAGAGAGGAAGGGAGAGAGGTGGTTAGAAACATCAATGAGAGAGAAACATCAATTAGCTGCCTCCTGCACACTCTCCCCCTGAGGATGTGCCGGCAACCAAGGTACATGCCCTTGACTGGAATCAATCCTGGACCCCTCAGTCCGCAGGCTGATACTCTAACCACTGAGCCAAAATGGTTTCAGCAAGGTGGCAGATTTTTAAAATCAGACTTTGAACCTTTAATAAACTTCTCTAGAAACTTGTTTCTGTTTACCTTCACCGGAAGGTACTTTAAATATACACCATATAGATGATTTTTAAAAAAAATATATTTTATTGATTTTTTACAGAGAGGAAGGGAGAGAGATAGTTAGAAACATCGATGAGAGAGCGCCATCGATCAGCTGCCTCCTACACACCCCCCACCAAGGATGTGCCCGCAACCAATGTGCATGCCCTTGACCGGAATCGAACCCAGGAACCTTCAGTCCGCAAACCAACGCTCTACCACTGAGCCAAACCGGCTTTGGCCATATAGATGATTTTTTATAGAGAAACAAGTCATTTTTCTGTTAACTTCTGATCATGTTTATTATAATTGTTCAGTTTATTATTTATACATTTAGAATTGATTGAAGTTTCCAATCCAAGGATTGTAGCTTTATAACCAATTTATCATGAAAAGATATGTTTTGTTATAAATACTTGTTTAAAAGTAAACTCCAGGATATACAGCACTGGCTGACTCCGGCCTGTAGTGGCTTTCCAGCTGCCTTTAAAGGGTTCGGGTAAAGGCAAATTCTGGGCTGGGCTGTAACACATGAAGTCAATATTAAAGGAAAAGAAAAATCACATAAATTTTTAAAATTCTGTCAGCAAGGTAGGAGAAGGGATTTGTCGAGGTACGGGAGGGAGTGGTGAGACTGGCTTGTGTTTCCTCTCACAACCCCCCCCCTTCTTAAAGCAATTTGTTTTACCGATGTGAGTTTTCTTCCCCTTTGAGTGTTCATTGTGTTCTGAAGGATCAATTAGTATGTGGGGATGTTAAAAGTTGTGGCTGCTCTCATTGTGGAAGGGAAAAACGCAACTAAAGCACTTCTTTTCCAAGTTCAAAGTCACTGTGATGTATATTTTTTTAATGAAATTTAGGAATAAAGCTCTTGTTAACAATTGTAAAATGTTTCAAAATGCTGCTTCTCATCATTAGTCTAGTAACTTGTTTTCTGCAAACTGCATTTTGTGGAATGTAAGCTCTGAAACTATAAATTTTTATAGTTTGTATTAAATAAACTATACTATAATAAATAGTTTGTTTTTATATTTTTAAAATTGTTTATTTAACCTTTATTTTTATTAGAAGCTAAATAATGAAAATCAACTAAAATACAATTTTATTTCACCCATGGAGATACAAGATCTGTATTAGGGGGGGGAACTGAGTAGTGTTTAACAATACTGAACTTCTTTAAGAATTTAGTGACAATTTCCAGAAGGTATAGGAATAAACCCTAGAGTAAATGTTTAATCATGGTGTTTCCAATTGCGACATGTCTTTTGCCTCGGCAAGCTTTTAAGGTTATACTTGGAATCTGCATTACTATCTGGTAGAAAAGCCCATTTGCTTCTTAACTTCCCAGCATTAGGAACACTATTATGTCATTGGCCCTCCAGTTTAAGGGTTCTAAAACCATAAAATGTTAATTATAAGAAAGATTGATTCTGGTTTTTGACTTATTGTTTGGTTGTTATTTAAATGAGTTGTATATAGACAAAATTTGCCTACCTAACTTGAGTTAGTCACAGAAAATATATATGCTTAGGTAAAAACATTCGGACCATCCAGTGATTTGTGTGTATTAACAGGTGAATATTATTAAACTTTCAGGTTCTGGAGTGTTTTTTAAAATGCTTTATTTAACCAGGAGAATATGTAAAATGTAAGTGCTTCATCATATGGACTGTGCAAATTGTGTATTAAAATACTTTTAGTATCAATTTGCTTTTTCTATTTTCATTGCTTTCTAGGTTTCTTTACTAAACATTTCTTAACCTAATATTGTATTTCCTTTTATTTTAAATGCTGGTTCATAATTTTTTATCCTCACCCCCCCTCCCATAGTCCTCAATACCCAAAATGTCTTGGTTACAGTTTAAATCTTTGCACAAATTTTAGCTATGGGTTTTTTTTATTTCAAGTAGCAGTTTAGAGCAGTTACTAGTATGTATCCACTGTTCTGTGTTTTGCCATTCTATTCTTTTTTAAAAAAATATATTTTATTGATTTTTTTACAGAGAGGAAGAGAGAGGGATAGAGAATTAGAAACATCGATGATAGAGAATCACTGATCAGCTGCCTCCTGCACACCCCCTACTGGGGATATGTCCACAACCAAGGTACATGCCCTTGACCGGAATCGAACCCGGGACATTTCAGTCCGCAGGCCAACGCTCTATCCACTGAGCCAAACCGGTTTCGGCTGCCATTCTATTCTTTACACTGAATTGTTTGTGATTAATTTAAAAGCTGCACAGCCTTTTTTTTTTCTTTTTTCTTTTTTTTCTTTTTTTGCTTAACTCTAGTAGAAAGTCTAGCCCAATAGAATCCAATTATATATGTTAGGGAGAAAACTATATTTTCAGTGTCTTATCCTTCACTCAGTTAAGTTGGTTATAAAACATTTAAATAATCAGTTTCCTGTTTTTATAACGTGAAGATAACTTTATCTAAAACTAGTCATCACCCCTATATAATATACTCCCTAAAACACTTGAAAGAATATATGATAGAGGTTCCCAGATTTTATTAGTTAATTTTGCCTTTGCATGGCAACCTTAGGCCAAATATATATATCCAGTAGTTCTATTAAATGGATAAGTTCAAATAGCTGAAGCATGCCCTAACAACTTGGTAGCTATGAAAAAAATTATATCACTTATATTTAAAAATAATTGGTTACTAATGGGAAGTGTGCAACTTAGTGCACTTCTCAAAGCTTGGAGTCGGAATGCCATCACTCTTGTGCATTATTATGGCCTATTTGCATTTTATCCCAGCAACTGCTAAACATCCAGGTTTATAAAGATAGGATGTCATCGAAAGGGATGGCATATCAATATATTGAAACTGAACTTTCTTAAACGATAATACCTGTAGAGTCTTACAGATGTCAAATATTACCTTTACCTTACAGATGTCAAATATTTACTTTTAAGTTTTTAAAATATCCTACCAGTTGTGCCATTGCGAGTTCGCTATGTCCCTTAGATCCCCTTGACACAATTTTGGAATCATTGTATACAGTGTTCTTTTTAATATTCAGCTACATTAGTCTTTTAGCAGGATTTGTTTAACATGTGATCCATAAACCAGAAGTTAGGATTTGGAATGATGGCTTTGCTTACAGAAACATCTATATTGTTTTTTTTTTTTTTTTTTTAAGTATAGGTGGCCATCCTTGTCCCAGATATACTTAATCACAATCTGGGGTATGGGCAGGGGTCACTGCCCTGTAGAGCCTAGGAGGATGGTGTGGAAGTCCTGAAATTACAGGCATAATGTTTGAGGTGGGTGGGGGGAGTAATCCACCTTACTGCTCAAGGAGCTATACGTTTCATCATTCCCAGAGAGGATCATGACATCAAATATTTTTCCTGTAAGACTTGGTCCCTGAGAGAATGATGGTCTGTGTAATTTACACTTATACTCAGCATTTCTATTTGTAGAAATCTATTTTAAAAATACACTGATGAAAATATGAAACAAAGTTGTTATTGGCAGGAATTTATAGTAGCAAAGATGAGATTATACATATCTATTGGTATGCCGCTGGTTGCATAAACTGTATAAACATGCAACAGGATACTGTGCCATGTTGGGGGAAATGAGGATCTTTATATCACTGGACTGTGATTTATAGGATTTAATAAATGTAAAAAGAAAAATTGTTTTATGCAAGAGTTAAATGAAAATACACATTTGTGTATCTTAAAAAACATTTGCTCATCTTAAAAAAACAGTAAGCAAAGGACAACAGTGAAAAGGTAACCTGAAGGAGAAAATTTTTCATATCATACCTGATAAGGAGTTAATATCCATAGTATGTAAAGAAACTACAACTTGCCTAAACCAGTTTTGCTCAGTGGATAGAGTGGCGGCCTGCGGATTGAAAGATCCCAGGTTTGATTCTGGTCAAGGGCATGCACCTTGGTTGCGGGCACATCCCCTGTAGGGGGTGTGCAGGAGGCAGCTGATCAATGTTTCTAACTTTCCCTCTCTCTTCCTCTCGGTAAAAAATAAAATAAAAAGAACTACAACTCAACCAAAAAAGCAATGGATGAAAAAATTCAAAAGGACTCAGATAACATTTCTCCAACGTTGGTACATTCACAACTGATAAACTGGAACTGTAAATCAAAACCACCATGATCTAGCACCTCATGTTCGTTAGGATGGCTATTATCAAAATAGTTAGGGAAAATGTGCACCTGGTCCAATATTGGAATGGAAAGTGCAGCTTTTGGTTCAAACAATATGGTTCTTCAGAAAATTTTAAACAATTGTCATAAAGCAATTTAATTTTTGAGTATATATCCAAAAGAATTTAAATATTATCTCAGAGGTTTGCACACTAGTGTTTATAGCATCATTATTCACTAAAGCCAAGAGATGAAAACCAAAGTGTCCATTAATGAAGGAATAGATAAACTTTGGGATATCCTATATAGTAAAAGGCTAATGTGCAGATTGTCCCCTTGACAGAAGTTCAAGCAGCCCTTCCCCCCAGCTGGCCCCACCCCCATTCAACCCACTCCCACCCTGATTGGGGGCTAGGCCAGCCTTCTAACTGCCTGTGGCCCCTCCCCCTGGCCAGCCCTTCTCCAATTGGGGGCAGGGTCAGCCAGCCAACCTCCCATGTCCCATCCCCCCAGCCAACCCAACCTTGTCAGCCTCCACCCATGCAGAAATTCATGCACTAGGCCTCGTGTGTGTGTGTGTGTGTGTGTGTGTGTGTGTGTGTGTGTGTGTAATTTCATTGTTTTAAGAAAGGAGTTCTGACACATGCCTCAACATTAGATGACCTTGAAAACATTATGCAAATGGAAATAAATTCTACTTAGTGAGGTACCTAAAGTGGTCAAATTCATAGAAACAAAGTAGAATGGTAGGTCCCAGGAGCTGTGGGGAGGGGAGATGGAGAGTTGTTTAATGGGTATATAGTTTCAGTTTTGCAAGATGATAAGATCCGGAGATTGGTTACACAACAATGTGAATATACTAGCATACCACTGAACTGTACTCTTAAAAATGTTTAGGATGGTAAAATTTGTATTCTGCATTTATACCACAGTCAAGAAACTAAAGGAACAGGAATGCAACTCATAAAAACACTGAAGCCCTGACCCATTTGGCTCAGGGAATGGAGCATCAGCCTGCGGACTGAAGCTTTCTGGGTTCAATTCTGGTCGGGGCACATGCCTGGATTGCAGGCTCGATTTCCTGGAGTGCAGGAGGCAGCCAATCAATGATTCTTATTGATGTTTCTCTCCCTTTTCCTCTCTGAAATTAATAAAAATATATTTAAAAAAAAAAAAACACTGAACTTGTATCAAGTTGGTTGCCTAACTACATGTAGAATTTTTTCAACTGACCTTAAAACATGGCAATTTGCACATCTAGTGAGATACACTATAAAATAAACCACAAAGGAGCCATAAATTGCATTCAGTAATCATTAGTGTTATTTGAAACTAAAATTTAAGTACTGAATGATACACAATTTTTTAAAGAGAAAAATAGTACTTCCATGCAGCTATAAAGAGGAATGAAGTGCTGATGATGGTAGGACATTAGATAGGCCTTGGAAATATGCTAAGTAAGTCTGAAATAAGGCCACCGTATGATTCCATTTATATAAAATAACCAAATAGGCAAACAGAGACAAATCAGATTAGTGTTTGCCAGGGACTATGGAGAGGGGGTTGGGGAGTGACTGCTTAATAGGTACAGGGTTTCCATTTGAGCAATGAAAAGGTTCCAGAACTCTATAATGTTTATACAATATTATGAATATAAATGCTACTGAACACATTTTTTAAAATATATTTTATTGATTTTTTACAGAGAGGAAGAGAGAGGGACAGAGAACTAGAAACATCGATGAGAGAGAAACATCCATCAGCTGCCTCCTGCACACCCCACACTGGGGACGTGCCCGCAACCAAGGTACGTGCCCTTGACAGGAATCGAACCCAGGACCTTTCAGTCCATAGGCTGATGCTCTATTCACTGAGCCAAACCGGTTTTGGCCTGAACACATTTTTAACTGACTAAAATTATACATTTTATTTTGTGTATATATTTTGTGTATATATAAAAAACGAATTAACCTTCAATGGTGAAGATCCAACATAATTGTACTTAGATGAAGAGCAGCTTTATTGAAATTATAAACAAGTAATTCACTTACATTTGGAGCTTATAATTGGCTACAATTTAGTCTCTCAATCTTAAACCTTTTCCTACCATGTAAAACCTAGCCTTTTCTTAGACTTTTGAAAATTATTATATTTTGATCCATGCGAATAATAACAAGGGAGCTGTTCTCCAGTGGCCTCATTTGCCTGATAGCTAGGTCTTAATCCACCTCTGTCCGTAAGAACTGGTCCATGGCCACCTCCAGGTCCTCTCTGTACAGATTTTACAAGAGGATAAATATGTTTATTTGTTGATTCAGACTCAAATTTAATTACTTCTCTGGCATAATCCTGAAATTGCTTCTCCTTTTCAGTCAAAAGTTTTTCAGTAAGTCTGCAATACTGTAGATGGTCTTCTTTTGCTTGTTTTGCATTAAGCTTATTTTCGGCCTATTAAAGAAAGAAAGTACAATTCCATATTGGTAAATGAGACCAACTTTCTAAATATATATAGCATTAGAAGTTGTAGATATACTTTTATAAACTCATTGATATTTGACAAGTTCTGACAACTTTGTATTCTATAATTTATTTCAGAAACTTTCCCATGTATCTCACAATATCATCATGCTCAGAAGTCGTGACTCAATGAAACTTGCCTTAATAGCCATATATTATGATACATCTTCAAACAATACGGTAAAATAGTTAAAGGCATGAACTTTAGATAAAATCAAATAACCACGTTTAGAATCCTGTTTCTACCATTTAAAAATGCGTACTCTGGCAGGTAGGTGTAGAAGGCATATCTACCAATCACTGTCCCTACCCATCCACTATTTTGAAGGAACTCACTCAAATCCACTCTCCTAATTCATCCCAGTATACCATGTGCCACAGGAACTCCTGTAAAATTAAATTGGCAGTGAATATCTGAGCTAAGTTAAACCAACTACATGCTGTTTCCCAATAATTTGAAGTTGGAACATGTGACATTTATTTATTTATTTATTTATTTATTTATTTATTATTGATTTTTACACAGAGAGGAATTGAGAGGGATAGAGAGTTAGAAACATTGATGAGCCAGGACTGGTTTAGCTCAGTGGATAGAGCGTCGGCCTGCGGACTGAAAGGTCCCGGGTTCGATTCTGATCAAGGGCATGTACCTTGGTTGCAGGCACATCCCCAGTTGGGGGTGTGCAAGAGGCGGCTGATCAATGATTCTCTCTCATCGATGTTTCTAACTCTCTATAGATACATCGACTAGCTGCCTCTTGCACACCCCCCACTAAGGATGTGCCCGCAACCAAGGTACATGCCCTTGACCAGAATCGAACCCGGGACCTTTCAGTCCGCAGGCCGACGCTCTATCCACTGAGCCAAACTGCTTTCGGCAAAAGTGACATTTATTAAAGTAGGTTGATAGGTGCTGTGTGGAGTAAGTACACTAAGCTATCTATCAAAAGCCAATTTAGTGCTCGCTTTGGCAGCACAAATACACTAAAATTGGAACGATACAGAGAAGATTAGCATGGCCCCTGCGCAAAAGCCAATTTACCAACATTTCATAATTTCATAAGCCGATTTACCAACATTCCAGCCTGCAGGAATGAGGCCCAAACTTGCTCTTGAATATCCCCTGAGGGGTTCCAGATTGCAAGAGGGTGCAGGCTAGGATGAGGGACCCCACCAGTACATGATTAGGGATGGAGAGAGCTGCGGGAGGACTCCAGGGCATGGCCGGCCCATCTCTCCTAGTCCTAATCGGTTGGTCCCCAGCAGCAAGCTAACTTGCTGTTGGTCCCCAGCAGCAAGTCAGAGCATCTGCCCTCTGGTGCTCAGTGCACATCACAGCGACTAGTTGAACCATCAGACACTTGTCATATTAGGCTTTTATTATATAGGATGTGATCATAATGACTTTTCAAGATTTCTATGAAGTTTTGGTTGATAACATTTTCATTTTGTCTTCTCTGTGGCATTTTTTTTAAATGCAGAGTTGGCAAAAAATTTGAGTCATTTTGTATACTTAAGAATATATTTTATTTTATTTTTTAATTTTAAAATATATTTTATTGATTTTTTACAGAAAGAAGGGAAAGGGATGGTCCCGGGGTTTGAGTCCAGTCAAGGGCACATGCTCGGGTTGCTGGCTTAATCCTCAGTAGGGGTATGCAGGAGGCAACCAATTAATGATTCTCTCTCATCATTGGTGTTTCTATCTCTCCCTCTCCCTGCCTCTCTGAAATAAAAAATATATGTTTTAAATTTTTTTTTTAATCAAACATTTTAGAGCCCTAGAAAGAGACCAGATGAGGTCAAATACTTCAGAAGTATCTTTTCATGAGAAACTGCTGCTAAATCTGATAAGAATAGCAACTTTATGGCATTCTTGTTTGGAGGGCATTGCTATCCATCCAGCTTAGGTAATGAAAGCTTGCATATTCCATTTGAGTTGAGTGGCAAAGCTGCTAAAATTTAAGGGGGAGATTCTGAAGGCAAGACAGTTATAGATTAAAATAATGAACATCCCTGACTAATTGATAAACTATACATTCACAAAGGAGATCCAAGGGCTTCTGGCAAAAATGAAAGACTTGGAAGAGATTGTGAATATTCTGTTCTTTGGAAGGCCATCCTCAACCCACACACAGCTTATGCACCAGTGATAAAAGCAGATGCTCAGTGCAGGAGCTGCCCCCTGGTGGTCAGTGCGCTCCCACAGGGGGAGCTTCGCTCAGCCACAAGCCGGACTGCAAGGGGAGCCTCTCCTGCCTCCTCGGCAATGCTGGGGATGTCCGACTTTGGCTTAGGTCCGCTTCCAGGCTGCCAGAGGAATGTCTGTCAGCTGAGGCCTGATTCCCCCAAGAACGGGCCTAAGTCAGCAGGTGGACATCCCCCGAAGGGTCCCAGTCTCCAAGAGGGTGCAGGCTGGGCTGAGGGGACCCCCCACCCCTCTGAGTGCATGACTTTTCATGCACTGGGCCTCTAGTAAGCTTATAAAAAGATGCTCAACATCGTTAATCATTAGGGAAAAGCAAATGAGAGCCACAATGAGATACTTTCCAACCCATTATGATGGTTACAATGAACAACAAAACCGCCCTAGCAGGTTTGGCTCAGTGGGTAGTGTTGGACTGGGAACTGAAGGATCCCAGATTTGACCCCCACCGAGTAGGGGCATGCAGGAGGCAGCCAATCAATGATTCTCTCTCAGCATCAATGTTTCTCTCTCTTACTCTCTGAAATCAATAATATATATTTATATTAAATCCAGAAAAAAAATTTGTTGAGAATTTGGAGAAACTGGAACCCTTGAGCATTGCTTGTGGGAATGTAGAAAGGTACAGCTGCTGTAGAAAACAGTACAGTATTTCTAAAAATAACTAAATATAGAATTACCATGTAACCCATCAATTCCACTTCTGGGTACATAAACAAAAGAACTGAAAGGAGAAACTCAAACAGATATTTATATGCCAATGTGCCTAGAAGCATTCTTTGTCCTCCCCTGCAAGCCTGGTCTCCCTAACTGCCTTCCCCTGTGTGTCATAGTGACCAGTTGTTCCCGATTGTTCCACCATTAGGGTCAATTTGCATATTACCCTCTTTTTATAAAGGAGGATATATACAGAGTTATAAAGAGGGGAAAGTAAAATAAAGTTGATAAGCTGTGTTTTTGTTAATATTACTAAAGCACTATTGACACTAAAGAAGGGTAAATATTTGTGCAAAACACATAAATCTGGTTTGGGAATTTCAATACAGATAAAAACAGAATCTAACTCTTCACATTTCTTATATATTTGATTGTGTCATAATGACCAGCTGATCTCTCTTGTCAAAGAAATCTGCTTGGGAACTCTATATTACATAGTTATTGCTAAAATAAGTATAAACAGTTAGGAATAATTACGATTTGCTGAATATGGGCATCTTGGAGTTCAAGACGTTCTTTATCACTTTTACGTTTTTTCTCCTTTTCATGCTCCCAGGAAATCTGGTCTGCTTTCATGACAGCCAACAAATGTTCTTTTTCCTCGATTTTTCTTAGTCTTTCTTCTTCCTCTTTGTTTTTCATCTAGATGTTACAAGGTAAAGGAAAACACTGAAACCATGTTCAGCAACCATTGCTCTCTAAAGAAGGAATGGATTCAGAAAGTTCCAAGCAGAAAGTCAGCCCAGAGCAATGCAAAGGCAGAAATTCGTATGCACCTGGGCTCATTCCCATGTGGACATTTTACTTTGGGTTTGTTTTTTTCTGTGTTTTTTTTTTTTTTAATCTCCCAAATATCAGGACACACAATGAAAACAAATAGAATAATATTTGTTTAAAAAAAATACAGAAATAGAAAAAAGCTAGATCTTCTCAAAGCTAGATCTTGATATTTCTTCTCAAGGTAGAAATATCTTTGTAGGTAAAAAAATTAGTTGCTACAATGTTTATAAATTATCCAATTTAAATATTATGATAGTCATAATTAAGGAATTAATTCCTGAAGAATTAAGGAATACAGAAATGCAATAGGGTAATTTTTCTTGATTTGTCTTGAAAACATTCAAATTCAAAGTATATAAGTGAATAAAATGTTTTGTTTTTCATACTAATGCAACAACAACAAAAAATAAGGTACCTAGGAATATACTTAACCAAGGAGATAAAAGAACTGTTGTGAGAAAAATATAGGACACTGAAGAAAGACACAGAGGAAGCATATGCCATGTTCATGGACTGGAAGAATTAACATAATTAAAATGTCCATACTATCCAGTGCAATTCCAATGGCATATTTCACCAAACTAGAACAAAAGAGATTATTACTTTGCATCTATAAATATATTATTTGTAATTGATTGTCATATCTTCTGTTAGAAAGCAAACATGGTCTGATGTTAGGAATTCAGGAAGATAATTCATACATTATTTTTCAAATTTCTGTTTTTTGGGGTTTTTTTGTGTTGTTTTTTTTTTGGTCTGGGACACAGATGAAGTAGAAAGGACAGTGGGGCCGGCACCGGTTTGGCTCAATGGATAGAGCGTCGGCTTGGGGACTGAAGGGTCCCGGGTTCGATTCCGGTCAAGGGCATGTACGTTGGTTGCGGGCACATCCCCAGTAGAGGGTGTGCAAGAGGCAGCTGGTCGATGATTCTCTCTCATTGACGTTTCTAACTCTCTATCCCTCTCTCTTCCTCTCTGTGAAAAATCAATAAAATATATTTAAAAAAAAAAAAAAAAAAAAAAAAAAAAAAAAAAAAAAAAAGAAAGGACAGTGGGAAGGGCTTACTTTTTTTTTTTTTTGGTGTAATTTTTATTTGTCAAAATTGAATTGCTTACCACAAAGAGTCTATGTTCTTCAATCGCTTTTAATTCTGCTTTATTTTTTTCAACTTTGTCTCTTTCTCTTTTTTCCCATTCAGCCTCAACTTCTTCACTATTTTTAGCGAGAATCATATCTTCATTGTCAAGTTTCTGTTTTATTATTTCACTCAGGAAGTTATTTATTCTTTTTCTACGTTCCTCCATTAGCCTACAAAAAGCAACCATCATGTTAAATCTTCATGAATATTATAGATCTGCTATGGAGTCAGTATAATTTGGAGAGTCACATATATATTTTTTAAATATATTTTATTGCCGGGACCGGTTTGGCTCAATGGATAGAGCGTCGGCTTGGGGACTGAAGGGTCCCGGGTTCGATTCCGGTCAAGGGCATGTACCTTGGTTGCGGGCATATCCCCAGTAGGGGGGTGTGCAAGAGGCAGCTGATTGATGACTCTCTCTCATCGATGTTTCTAACTCTCTATCTCTCTCCCTTCCTCTCTGTATAAAATCAATAAAAAAATATATTTTAAAAAAATAAAAATAAAAATAAATAAATAAATAAATAAATATATTTTATTGATTTTTCACAGAGAGAAAGAGAGGGATAGAGAGCTAGAAACATCGATGAGAGAGAATCATCGATCAGCTGCCTCTTGCATATCCCCCACTGGGGATGAGCCCGCAACCAAGGTACATGCCCCCCGATCAACCAGAATCAAACCCAGGACCCTTCAGTCCGCAGGCTGACGCTTTATCCACTGAGCCAAACCGATTTCGGCGAGAGTTAGATATTGTAAAGGATTGGGGCATTTTTATTTAGGATATTGGGCCAAAAATACTTTTGTCATAATTTGCCAAAAATTTAATTTGTCATATTACACTTAGATATGACAAAGTCACTAAATCACTAAACGAATTTGCAAAGCAATGTGGGAGAAAATATGGGAAAGAACACAGTGCCTATCCCAAGGTAATTAACATTTGCATGAGTAACTAAACAAAGGGCAACTTTACAAATGCCACGAGAAAGCTAGAAAATTATATGAGCAAATGAAAAGAAAAAAATAAAGGCTTCATGGAAAAGGTGACATTTCCTCTAGGCTCAAAACAATATTTTAAACACTTTTATTGATTGCCTACTATATGCCAGACATTATTCCAAGTGCTGGAGACTAACAATAAACAAAACCATTAAAAGTCTCTGCCATCATGGAGCTTTTGTTATAGCTGGGGTAGAGGGACAGCAAACAATAAATAATTAAAATAGTGTTAGAGCATGCAACCAGGAAAACAAAAGCAATTAAAAGGATAGCAATGGGGGGGGGGGGTAATTTTAAGGCGGACAGAGAAAGCCTCAATGAGAAGGCAATATGTGAGTAATGACTTGAAGAGTTAAGAGAGGTGAGCATTCCCCAGAGAGGGTCCAGGAGAGGTCCATGTGAGTGAGGACGAGGAAAGGAAGGAGAGAACTGTGGGAGCCCAGGCCTGAGGTGAGGCCGGAGGCAGCTGGGAATCGGGACAGGTGTGGAGCCCTAGCGGCCACAGTAAAGACTCTAAGTGTGATGTAAAGCCATCAGAGAAAAGCACGATTGAGACAGAAACACGATGGACTGGAGCTGGCTTCCCACTCTGCTCTCGCCTCATCCCAAACTCCTCACTAAACTGACCTCTACATCCAAGAGATAATTTTTAAAACCTCATTTAATACCTTTATTGATCTAACACTAAATATTGTTTTGTTTTTTTAATTTAACTGAAACTCTCCTCCTTTGCTGTTTCTCTGGTTTTCCTCCAATCTCTAGATGTGGTCTTCACCTTACCTTCTTTCTGCATTTGTCCTGAGGACTATGCCATCTTCATTTCTTACCTATTCACCTTAGGTGAGGTCACCTGTACTACAGTTCTAACAACCACGTGTACAGCAATGCCTCGCGCAGCCATCTCCAGCTCATCCCTCTCCAGGGCAGAGGTTCTCAGTATTCCCAGCCTCCTTGAAATCCCAGAGAAACCCCAACTCCCATGCCCCAAACTGAAGTCATTGTGACACAAATGCTCAAGTCGAATCATCCACAAAATACTGAGGCCTTTGTTCCCAAAGGCTACTCTCATACCACAACTTCTCATTCATAACAAAGTAATTTCAGGTAGCACTTTATTAATGATGTGAGTTATTTTAAAAGCTTACCTGTTTGTTTCGGCTTCTTTTTCTTTCCTCATTTGTGTAAGACGCTTTTTTGTTTTGATAAATTTTCTAATCTTTTCATCTTCCTCCTCTTGCTGCTGATTTTCTACGGCTTTGATGATATTTTTATCGTTCATACATTCCTTAGAGAAAAAGTTCTGTGTTAGCCTATCAAGAAAAAAATCTTTCAACATCTAAATATCTAACAAGAACCTATAAAATGGTCACAGCTTCTGATCCAGTTATTTCTCTCTTGGAAATTTATCCCAAAAGAACATCAGAAATATACATTTCATCTCAAAGTTATTTATAATGGTGACAAGTTGGAAACAACCTCAAATATTCAGAATGGAAAAATGGTTAAATAAATTATACTCCCAGTGACATGGGAAGAATATTAATAATACATTGATGAATAAGAGGAAAACAGAATATAAACACTAAGTAGCATATTTAGCAAATATATGAGTACAAAGTTTATAATGTATATATAAATGAAAGAAATGTATCAAATATTAGTTATTTTTGGGATATGAAATTATAGGTGACTTTCATATCTCCTTTATGCTTTTCTATATTTCTTTTTAAATAATTCATTTCTTTAAAAATATGTAACTAAAATAACTCAATAATCAGAAAAAAAAAAAAAAAAACAAAACAAAAGCTCATCTGCCCTCACTGGTATGGTTCAAGGGATAGAGCATCAGCCTGCAGATAGAAGGGTTCTGGGTTCAATTCTGGTCAAAGGCACATACGTGGGTTGTGGGCTTGATCCCTAGTAGGGGGTGTACAGGAGGCAGCCAATCAATGATTCTCTCTCATCATTGATGTTTCTATCTCTTTCTCCTCTTCCTTTCTCTCTGAAGTCAAGAAAAATATATTTTAAAAAATAGTTAATGTAGTCACAGAGTACACACATTAAAAATATTTAAAAGATACCTATCGCGCCCTATCTGGCTTGGTTCAGTGGCTAGAGTGTCAGCTTGTGGACTGAAGAGTCCGGGGTTCAATTCTTGCCAAGGGCACATGCCCAGGTTGCAGACTTGATGCCCCAGTAGGGGGTGTGCAGAAGGCAGCCAATCAATGATTCTCTCTCATGTTCCTCTCTCTCTTCCTCTCTGAAATTAATATATATATTTATGTATATAAAGTATGTATATAAAGTAGGTATACAGTATATATATGTAAAGATACCTACCTATGAAAAAAATCTTCATTCTCTTATTTCTTGTTCTTGCATGCGAGCACATCCACATAAAAACCATAGCAAGTATAGTTCTCCCCAATACACTTAGAAACCCAATTTAATAGAAACTTGTTTTTAATTCACTATTATTTACAAAAAAATATATATTAAAATGTAGTCATTGGACTTTGTACATATTTAGAAAAGATGCTGTATTTTCAACTTACAAAAAATAGTTCCCTCTTTTCATTTATCTCTTTATTTTTCTTTTCTAGATTTTTCTTCATTTCTATTTCATATAATTTATTCTGTCGCTTTATTTCCTCAGCGTCACTTTCTTCAGATTTTCTCCTCCTTTCTTCTTCCTCTTCATGTTCCTTTATCCTAAAACCAAAAAATGTTATATTTTAAATAAGTTAATTATATTACAATCTAGGATGATTTGAGACTGTAAGAAGGAATTTGTATATTTTTTAGGGAGGAGGGGGACAAGACATATATAAAGAACAGTGGTTAAAACCAAATCCAAAATGGTTAGCTCAGAATTACCAATAATTCCATTCCTTTGAAATTTGCTTCATTCTTTCTCCAAATTAATTCCCACACTAGGATTTCAAATAGTCCTTCCCTTTAGGAAGAACCAGTTCACTGAAGGACTGTATGGTGGAATGTGACATTATTTTTCAGAAAAGTCCCTAATCCCCAGCGCTTCTCAGTTTCAGCACTAGACATGCTCTCTACGTATGGGTCTAGCCCCTCAGGAGATGGGGTTTGATAGAAAGAGAGAAACAAAGCTTTCCCATCCCACTGCCCACGGTGGTTGTCATCCCTCCTGCAGCCAGCATTCACCAGCTTACCTTCTGAGTTGGAAGCTACCAAATGTTGCTTCTGTCAAAGGCCTTAATGTCTGAGTTCTTCAGAGAACCCTAAGAGCCTCCTCACTGTAGAGACCGGGTCAGGACGATTGGCTCCCAAAACCCACCACTCTCACTACAGGAGACTCTCCCATCAATTTATTGCAGGCTCTGAGCGCCCTCCTCTGGTCTCCATTCCTCCACATGCTGGCAGGAACGCTGAGGCCCAAAATGTCTGCCGGTCAGCCCATCAACAATGTGCAGGCTGCTCCATGGCCACTGTCTGCTATCTCTAGTTTGTTTTGTTTTTTAATTCCAAAATAGGTAGGCACAGAAGAGAGTTACAACCTACTTACATGGACTAAAAGACTGAGGAGTAAACCTTTCTGTCACATGTGCCTCTAGTTCAGGGAAGAAAGACATAACATTCAGATCTTTACTTCCAATATCCATGTCCATAGCAGACACCAATAATCAATGCAAAGCTCTTCACTGCTGAATCTTAAACCTTCCCAACCCAATACACTGGGCATCCTCTACCTAATAATCAGAGTACCATTTGTCATGAAACCTCTGATTCACATCCGGAAGGCCCCAAATCTGTTTGTCTGGCCCAGATCTGATTTGAGCTTATACAGACGTTGTGTTGTCCTCCTTTAAAAGCATTAGGGGCTCCTACCCAAAATTTGGTTCAAATGACCTTCCACGCACCAAGAGAAGTTGAGAGACGGTGTTACTCACACAAGAAACTACTGGGAGAGCTGTCCAGGCACAAGTAGGTCTGGAATCACATGAGCATAGCAAAAGGAGTAGATCTGGGCCTTCCCCCAGACTAAGGGGAGGGACAGGGGAAAAATTCCTATGCACAAGGAGATATAAATTCTCTGCTGGTGCCAAAGGAAAGAGAAGTCCAGGGGCCTTCTTATCAGCCTTTTCAAATGAGGGCCACAGGGGAAGGGAGGGTGAGGCCCACAAAGAAATCAGCAGTCAAACATCAAATATGAGGTCTGACTCGATTACAATTCACACGTGTGATTTTTATAGAAAATCACCACCTGACTATATATTCACTATGTGTAAGACCAAATTCATACCCTTCTGGTCTCTTGTTCTTATCCTGGTGAACAGTACCACCTTCTTTTCAGCTGCCTATGCTAGAGATGTAATAATCACAACGTAGTGATAATTGGTAAATTCATTTATTTAAAAAATATTTATAATAACAGATTTGCATTTTCCTCTGTTGTATTCAATTATAGAATTGGATTTTCTTAGTAAATTTAAGATGTAAGACTCTGGAGCCAAATTGGCAACCCAAACTCACGTGTCAAACGTTTTCTTCCTGATTCCCCTCAATGCAAGCAATGGAATGAAGGAAATTCTACATCACTACTAGAAGCTACAATAAGGTCTTACTCACATACCTGAATTTTCAAGAGACTTCTGGGGGCGGGGGGGAATGTGTCAGTAAAGAGTGAAGTGAGGAAGATAATACTTGGCCACCATCCACAAAGACAGAGTCCACCACTGTGAAGGAATTTGTGTTTACCTTGAGCATGACAAACACCTAGACTACATGAACAGAAGCCAAAGAAACAACTAAAGCAAATCCTAAACCTGCTTGAACCTCTAACCTGTTGCCCTGTCCTGGGAAGGTGTTAGCACTTGCCAGGTAGCTTGCTGGAGATTAATCTGCAACCTATAATTATCTCTGAGCTGCAACTGCCAACATAAAAAGAGAAATGTCTCAAAGGTGATTCACTGGGCAAATATTTGCCTCCCTTTGCCAACGGCTCTGTCCATAACTTGCACAAACTCTTGGATCTCTACATTGCCAAAGGAAAAAAATTATAATAAATCAAAAAGTTACTCTTCTCTTTTTACTAAGGGTTAAAATAACTGCAGAATACAATCTGGCAACACATACATCCTGAGAATTGATGTCTATGTCACTTAGACATTTGTGATTCTGAGAAATAAATATATATACAAAAATAAAATCATAATAACAAAAAGAGAGATTTGAACACATAAAAATAAGTATCTCCTAACTACTAAAAGCCATTCAGAAAGATGACAAAATCTGCAATGACTAATAAATTAGAATATCAATATATATAAAACTCCTTATTAATCAGTTTTTAATCAATGACAAACATGCATACCAATATAAAACAACCTATACAAGAGAACAATGGGATAACCAATTCACGATAATAAAAACCCAAACAAATGGACACTTACACATGAAAAAATGTTGTCTCAGTAAAATTACTAGAAATGTAAATTAAAAGCTACAGCGTTTTGCCAAAAACAGTACCCATATTGATTATAGTATAAAGAGTGTCGACATCATTGATGAATGCACTGAAAGCCTCTCAAAGGGCAATTTGGCAGTCATTCTCCAAATGTAAAATCCAAGTCCATTTCAAAAAATCTATCTTATGTAAATACATCTTTGCACAAAAGTTTTAAAAGATAGCCGAAACCAGTTTGGCCCAATGGTAGAGCGTCGGTCTGCGGACTGAAAGGTCCCAGGTTCGATTCCAGTCAAGGGCATGTACCTGGACTGTGGGCATATCCCCGGTAGGGGGTGTGCAAGAGGCGGCTGGTCGATGTTTCTCTCTCATCGATGTTTCTAGCTCTCTATATCTCTCCCTTCCTCTCTGTAAAAAATCAATAAAATATATATTTTAAAAAAAGTTATAAAAGATATATGCTAAAGATGATCTGTAACATTGTTAGAAATAGGGGACACCCCAATTTCCCTCAATAATAATTATAATTAAACCAGAGGCCCAGTGCATGGGATTAGTGCATTGGTGGGAGAGTGTGGCCTGCGGAGATCAGGCCAATGTGGGAGCTCTGCTCATCTCAGTTAGCTGAGCGGCTGGACCTGCCCTCTGTGTTTGAGCATCTGCCCCCTGGTGGTCAGTGTGTGTCATAGCGACTGGGCAATCAGTTGGTCTGGTTGTTCTGCTGTTCGGTCGCTGGGCTTTTATTATATAGGATAAATAATGGTACATGCTTAGTATATAATATGATTGTTTTAAAAGATGTGATCCATATATTCTTGCATAAAGATATTCAAGGTAGGGAATCCAAGATGGCTGAACAGGTAGACACCTAGCCGCAGCCGCACACAACAATTTCAATAAGATACAACTAAAATATAAAATGGACATTACCCAGAACTATAGGAAAGTCAACTGACTGGATATTCTACAACGAGAAGCAAGGAGAAAGCCAGAAGGAAGCGTGGAGGAGCTGTAAAAGCCCAAGGTACGGAGACACGCAGCACGCGGAGAGGATGGAGCCGGAGAGGAGGGAGGCCGAGTGCCTGGCTGGCATTCCCTAGCGGGAAGGAGATAAAAGCTCCGGACTGTGCTGAACCCCAGATCCGACTGCTCTGCACCCCAGTTCTAGGCCAAACCCCGGGGACCCAGGCTCATCCACAGGGAGCTGGGCTGTAAGGCGGAACCCAGGGGGAGCAGCGAAAGGAGGGCCCGGAGGCACTTGGCTGTGCCGCGGAATTGCCCTGGCGGGAAGGAGACAGGGGCTCCAGACTGCTCTGAATGCCACCTCCAACTCCACTTCCAACTGAACTGAACCCCAACACAGAGCATCATTGGGGGAGAGGCTAGACTGTTTGGTAGCAGGCGAAAATCGAGGGCACCTTTCTCTCAGAGGCGCTTGCAATGAGTACTGAAGGACCCTGAGACTCAGGAGCCGCATAGGGCAGGGCTGATGGAAGCCAAAGCTGTAGGCTCCACCCTGAAACCCCGCCCCATCAGGGAAGCTGCGAAAATGCCTAGAAGAAATAGATCGCAAACAAAAGAAATGGAGGACAAAAAGCAACTGGATATAGAGTTCAAATCTATGCTTATAAGGTTTTTCAAAAATTTCCTAGAAAAGATCGATAAGACCTATGAGGTTATGAAAAGGGATTAACTAGAATTAATAAGGGATCAACAAGAAATAAAGAATACATTGTCTGAAATAAAAAATATTATACAGAGTCCTAAAAACAGAATGGAAGATCGCAAGAATCAAGTCAAAGATTTGGAACATAAAGAGCCAGAAGACACTCCTCCACATAAGCTAGAAGGCAAGAGAATCCAGAAAATTGAAGATAATGTAAGAAACCTCTGGGACAACTTCAAGCGAACCAACATCAGAATTATGGGGGTCCCAGAAGATGAGAGAGAGCAAGATATCGAAAACAAACTGAAAGAATAGACAAACATACACCCAAATGTTAACAGTGCTTACTCTGGATCATCAAGTTTCTAGTTATTTTTAATTTATTTTTAATTTTGTTTAACTGTGTTTTAAATTTCTTTTATATTTTTACTGATTTTTTACAGAGAGGAAAGGAGAGAGATAGAGAGATAGAAACATCGATGAGAGAGAAACATAAACCAGCTGCCTCTTGCACACCCCCTCCCGGGGATGCGCCCCTGACCAGAATCGAACCTGGGACCTTTCAGTCCGAAGACCGACGCTCTACCACTGAGCCAAACTGGTTTCGGCATGTGTTTTATAATTCTATAATGTCTACCAATACAGTATTGTTTAAATTTTTAATGTATTTATACATTTTAAACACATTTAAACTACAGTGTAAAGAAACTGGTCTCACACTGGAGAAACAAAGTGGGTGGTGGTCACAGAAGAGACTTTTTCTGAATCTCCTTTGTGCCTTTGCCCATTTGCGTGTATCAGCTATTTAGAAAAGTAAGTAAAATTATATACAAATTGCACCCCCACCTATATATATTTTTTTAAAAAAGAGATCAGGTTTGATTTCAATTTACTGGCATAGCAAGAGCTCATGACATATTGGTAAATGAAAACACACACACACACACACATTTAATAAAATGGTAGTTGACCCAATTTTATTTTATAAAGTGGGTATATATGATCAGAAAAAATGGTTGCACCACTAGATCAATGACAGGAGATAGAGTTCAGTGCAAAGGGGCATGAGGAAACCCATTTGGGAAGATGGAAGTATACTGTATCCAGATTTGGGTGAGGTATACAGTTCTGGTATGCTTTTAAAAAGTCAATTATTATTAAATGTAAATTATACCTCAATGAATCCACCCACGTTCACCACCTCCATCAAAAAAAGGTTTATATGGCTATATACCAAAACAAAAACAGCTTATTGTGGTGGATTGGATTATTCAAAAAGGCTCTCTCTCTCACTCCCCACTTCTCTGTTCCAATGTTGTTAGCCCGAGCCATATGACTTCCTGTAGACTCATGGTGGGCCATGTGTTTCCCTGACCTTTGACTTTGGGATTAGCCATAGTCTTGCAAGCTTGTGCTCATTCTTTTGCATCTCTGTCAACGCGGTAAGAAAAGCTTCCCGCAGGTGACTGCTGGCCCTTCATCGAGGACTTCAGAATGAACACACATGGAGCAGATCGGAGCCTTGCCCACAACAGCAAACCCAGCCAGCCCTGCAGTTTGAACAAAAGCTGCCAGCCACGCCCAACCAACCCCCAGATACATGAGAAATAAATGTTTATTAGTGAATGCTGCTAGACTGTGGTTGTTTGTACGGTAGCATTACAGTGACGATATATTATCTCTGCGTAAGGGAATAATAATGATTTTTACCCTCTTTCCCTGTATTTTTTTTTCTACCTAGTAGGTATTTTAGCATTTATTACTTTTATATTCCGGGGGGAAAAAAGCTATATCCATCATGAGAAAAAGAGGGAGGTACAAATAAGATAATTTATATATACATACTGTTTTAAATGATCATTGGCAACAGCTATTCTTTCTCTGCGTTGTTTTTGTGCTTTTTCTTGTTCTTCCTTAAAAGCTTTTTCAATGTCGAGTTTCATTTGTTCCTCCCATTTTTTATCAGATTTTATTCTACTCTTTTGGGATTCAATCTGGGCATCACGTTCTTTCATCACTCTACTAAGAAGTAGTCCTGACTAAAAAAAAAAAATTAAAAAATAATTACAGTATTTTAAGAAAATAAAGTCTAATTGTGTAAATATGTTAAGTGTGTATAAAAATTCAAGAAAATCCAAGTAGTACATGAAAGTTTTTCAGTCTTTCTGTCTGGTAAAATTGATATTGCTTTGCACTTTCAATGGCCTTTCTTCTTTCTCCTTGTTTATATATTTCTTCTTCCAGATCAAGAATTTGTCTTTCTGCCTCTAGTTCTTCATCACGCTTCTTTTTGGCTTTAAGTTTTTGTTCTTTTATCCCCTGCAAAAAAGATCAAAGCAGTCATCTGTTTTCATTTTTCCATTACATTTTACAAAATTGAACATTGTAATGTGATCATTTGAACTTTCATTATTAGTCTTTATTGTATTTGCATTTATCATTAATAAATAAAACATATTTTAACTCATGAGCTAATTTTTAATTGAAATTTTTAGGTAGGTAACACAGTTATATGGTTGAAAACCCAAAAATAATATCATTGTATACAGTGAAACTCTCCCTCCAATCCTAATTTACATCTGTAATCTCTAAGACAACTACTATTTTTAATTTCTTGTGTTTACTTCAAAGTTCCTTCAAATATTTACATAATAATATATAAGCATACATCTATTATATGATTCAGCTACTCTATACCAAGATATTTACCCAAGAAAAATGAAAGCTGCTCCGAGACCGGTTTGGCTCAATGGATAGAGCGTCGGCTTGGGGACTGAAGGGACCCGGGTTCGATTCCGGTCAAGGGCATGTACCTTGGTTGCGGGCATATCCCCAGTAGGGGGTGTGCAAGAGGCAGCTGATTGATGACTCTCTCTCATCGATGTTTCTATCTCTCTATCTCTCTCATTTCCTCTCTGTACAAAATCAATAAAATATATTTTAAAAAAGAAAAAAGAAAAATGAAAGCATATATCCATACACTTACACATGAACGTTCATAAGCAGCTTTACTTTTTAAAATATATTTTTATTGATTTCAGAGAAGAAAAAAGAGGAGAAACATCAATGATGAGAGAGAATCATTGATTGGCTGCCTCCTCACATCCCCTACTGGGGATCGAGCCTGCAATCCAGGCATGGGCCCTTGACTAGAATTGAACCTGGAACCCTTCAGTCTGCAAGCCGAAGCTCTACCCACTGTGCCAAACCGGATAGGGCAGCAGCATTATTTATAGGAACCTGGAAACAGCTCAAATGTCAACAATTGAACAGATAAACTGTGGTATATATCCATACATGGTAACACCACTTAGCAATAACAGTGAATGAATAATTGATACACACAACATGAAAACATTTCATGTTGAGTGAAATTAATATATCATTTAAGCAGATCAATAGTTGCCTAGAGACAGGAGACAAAGTGGGGGGAAGAGTGAGAGGAGTAAAATGGGCTATGAATAAACTTTTCTGGGGTGATGAATATATTCATTGTCTTAATTATAATGATGATGTCAGGAGTCTATATGCCAAAAACTTATAAAATTGTACACTTTAAATATGTCCAATTTGCCGAAACCGGTTTGGCTCAATGGATAGAGCGTCGGCTTGGGGACTGAAAGGTCCCGGGTTCGATTCCGGTCAAGGGCATGTACCTTGGTTGCGGGCATATCCCCAGTAGGGGGTGTGCAAGAGGCAGCTGGTCGATGACTCTCTCTCATCGATGTTTCTAACTATCTCTCTCCCTTCTTCTCTGTACAAAATCAATAAAATATATTAAAAATAAATAAATAAATAAATAAATATGTCCAATTTATTGTATGTCACTTATACCTAAATAAAGGTGTTGAAAATGTGTCTCAATGCATTTTTATGTTTTATAGGTAAAAAATATATATATTTAAAATATATGTTTATTTATTTCAGAGGGGAAGGGAGAGGGAGAGAGAGATAGAATCATCAATGATGACAGAGAATCATTGATTGGCTGCCTCCTGCACAACCCCTACTGGGAATCGAGCCCACAACCCCGGGCATGTGCCCTTGACCAGAATCCAAGCTGGGACCCTTCTGCTCATAGGCCGACGCTCTATCCACTGAGCAAAAATGGCTAGGGCTATATGTAAAAATATTTATAAGAATGCTAAGAAAAAATATAAGCCTTCATTGCTTGTGTACTCCTGGGTGGTTAATACTTACTGCATATGTACGAGCCCAATGTTTTACCACTTCTTGGGATCGGAGATGCATGTCTTTCTTTGCCTTTCTTTCTGCTCGAAGGCATGCTGCTTTTCTTGTTAAACTGTCAATGCTATCTCGAATCCTTTCCCACTCATTGTGTGGAATGATGGTGACCTGCCGAAGATCTACTTTGCTAGGTAGAAGAGGCAGATAGAGATCTTGATCTTCGTTTGAGTTTTTTATTTCTAGTAAAGTGTTAAAAATGAATATTAAAAACTTTCAAGAAGAGTGTGATCTTTTTTTCTCTCTCAGATATTTCTATATTGGTACATCTAGAAATTGTTTGAAATAATAATTGTATTCTGAAGAGCAACTGGGATTAAATGGAAAGGTTCAACACCCTGAAATCAAAAGACACAGGTTTGAGTCCTTGTTTAGTCATTTCCTTGGTGTGTAAACCTGAGCAAGTCATTTAACTTCTTGGAGTCTTGCTATCAACATCTTTAAAGTTGAGGTCAATAATACCTACCCAACTGGTTGTTATAAAAGCATTTTTCAATTTAGCCACGTAGGAGTTTATAAATGCATAACTTCGGGAATGTTCACCTATTGGGGTTGTAGACATTATAATTGACTCCATTCAACCCCTTTCTAATGGAGTACCGGCAATGTAATTTGGAGAACTGACTATAGTTCCCAGGTGGGCCTCATTAGTTTAAGAATACTTGCATCTCACTTGCCAATAATTATTTCTTTTTTTTTTTAAATATATTTTATTGATTTTGTACAGAGAGGAAGGGAGAGGGATAGAGTTAGAAACATCGATGAGAGAGAGTCATTGATCAGCTGCCTCTTGCACAACCCCTACCGGGGATATGCCTGCAACCAAGGTACATGCCCTTGACCGGAATCGAACCCAGGACTCTTCAGTCCCCAAGCCAACGCTCTATCCATTAAGCCAAACCGGTCTCAGCGCCAATAATTATTTCTATAATAAATAAATAAATAAATAAAAATAGTCTCTTTATTTGAGACTTTTAGTAAAGTTTGCTCTTGTTCTTCTGGTAAAGACATCTGAAAGTGACTCTCAAGCTAGATATGAATGAGGAAGCATGAAGGCCAGATTCCAAGGACCACAGCAGCCTTATAGGAGGCCGTACTGTGAACCACAAAGTGGAAACAAAGGAAGCACCTGGGACAATGAGGATCCCATTATATCTCTAGATCAATCAGATCAATCAGACCTGAAGCCTGGAGTTCCTGTGGTCAGTGGTGCACGGGCTCTGGAAGCAGTGGAAGGAGAACTGCATGTCAGAAGATGTGTGGTGCACAATGTGATCCCCCCTCTGTGACATCCCAAATCTTCATCAGAGTAACTGCACTCATGAGATGTTTTATTCAAGATCTTTCATTGTTGTGGTTGTTAATCCTCTCCCAAGGATATTTCTTCCCATTGATTTTAGAGAGGGAGAAGAGAGGGGAGAGACACAGAGAAAGAAACATCCAGTGAAAGAGACACATCAATTGGTGGCCAGGGATTGAATCCACAACCAAGGTATGTGCCCTTGAATGGAATATCAAACCCATGACCCTTCTTCAGTCAGCGGTCCAAGGCTCTAACCACTGAACGACCAGCGAGGGCTTATTCAAGATCTTTTCATGGACTCTGACTCAAGAAGAGAATCAAGAGAATAAAAGCGGTAGAAATGGGCAAGCATAAAGAAATAAGAGAACCCACAGAAAATCTGGGAAAGTTTTTTTTACTTTCAGGCCATTGAGGTTGGGACAAGTTCCCCCATCTCTCTGAGGATAAGGAGTTCTGATTGATATCAGAGCTACCGATGACCTCACACATCCATGCTCTGATTCACTGGATTGACGCACAGTTCACTCCTCTGAGGGCATTCTTATTTCCAAGACTCCTTCCTCACAGGGGCTCTCACACAAGGCCCGAAGTGGCTGTTCCAGAAATTAAACAGGCCACAGTTGAAAGAAGGAATAAGAAAAAAGAGAGGGGCATAGTAAGACTATGGACAGACTCATGGAGTAGAGAGGGGCCAAAAGCAGTGACAAGTGACCTATGGGTCTCTAAAATCAGTCCATGGGCCTGTCATCGTTTAAACACTTTCCGTGGCTTACAAAATCTCTCTTTTTAATTGAGATACATTTCACATGTCATAAAACTCACCATTGTAAAGGATAATAGTCAGGGATTTTTAATCTATTCACAAAGCTGTGCAAACATCACCACTAATTCCAGAACATAAGTTTCTTGGTCATAAGTTTCTTGTTTGTACTCAATTATCATCACTACCTCAGCCAGCGGTGAAGTTTAAAAAATGGCACTGATTTAAAAAACATATATGTGTGTGTGTATATGTATATATAAACCGCCTCCTTAGCGCAGTAGGCAGCGCGTCAGTCTCATACATACATATACATACATACATACATATATATGTATATATTGATTTCAGAAAGGGAGAGGGAGAGACAGAAACATCCATGATGAGAATCATTGATCAGCTGCCTCTTGACGCCCCCTGCTGGGGATCAACCAGGTCCTTTAGTGGGAAAGCCAATGCTCTATCCACTGAGCCAACCAGCTAGGGCAGCACTGATGTGTTGGGTTTTTTTGTTTTGTTTTGTTTTGTTTTTTTTTACAAACATAACTGGTGAGCTCTGAGTAAGATAAACTCCAGACTCTTGGAACTGCAACCACACAGATCAATTGGGTCAGCCTACTTATTTTTTCTCCACCTCTATTTATATAAACTTTTTCTTTTCAAATGTTTTTTTATTGATTTCAGAGAGATGAAGGGAGAGGAAGAGGGATAGAAACATCAAGGATGAGAATCATGGATCCGCTGCCTCCTGCACGCCCCCTACTGGGGATCCAGCCGGAAACTGCCTTGTGCCCTGACCTGGACATCCTGGTTCAGGGGTCCACGCTCAACCACTGTGCCACACCGGCCGGGCTATTTATGTAAATTTCCCCACCTACCCATTCGTCTGAGGGCAAACTGTCTAATTTACATAGAACCCCGCGCTGCTTTTGACTTGGGAGTCCCCTTCACCTGGCCTAGGCCCCCTCACCTGTCACCCTCGCCTCTCACCCCGAGTCTAGGGGGAGGGGGTCAGAAACAACCCCCAGGCCCGTGTGGGCCAGTGTAGCTCACCCGGGCATCCCTTGGCCTGCCCGGAGCGCCTCCCGAACCGCACGAGCGTCTCCGCCGAGGTGCCCATGGCGCTTTCGGGCTTGGAAAGGCGACCGCGCCGCGGGGCGCTGCAGTCTCCAGTGTTTGGAAATGCCGCGCGGTTGCTTAGCAACGCCGCCGGAAGTGACGGCCGCGGCTGCGGCCGCGGAAGAACCGGGAACCCGCGGCCGCCGGCTGCGGGGCCAGGGAGCACCGGCTGCGCCTGCGCGAGAGGCAAAGGCCGGTGTTCGCGCGGGGCGTCCCCACGGGCCGGCGCGCGGACACTCCCGGGAGCGGGGCGGAGGCCGGCCCAGCTGCTCCGGTCCGGGCCAGCGAGGCGACCCGGGGCCCGGGCTGGTGCCCCATCCTCCTCCGTCAGGGGCCGCCGCGGACGACCCCTCGGGTGCCTGCCCCCCCCTCCCGGCGGCCGGCAGGTGTGTGGGGAGCGCGCCCGGCGGGGTGGGTGCGGCCACGGGTCCCCTCGCGCGTGGGCGCGGGGGGGGGGGCAGAGCTCTCCCGTAGCCATGGAAACCCAGGGGCTCGGTGACAGAAAATCGGAGTTTAAATACTTTAGTTTATAATTCGGGCCAGAAGGGGGTTAGTTTCTTAAACATAGGAACCTTCAGCCGAAACCAGTTTGGCTCAGTGGATAGAGCATCAGCCTGCGGACTGAGAGGTCCCGGGTTCGAATCCGGTCAAGGGCATGTACCTTGGTTGCGCGCACATTCCCAGTAGGTGTGCTGATTGATGTTTCTCTTTCACTGATGTTTCTAACTCTCTCTTCCTCTCTGTAAAAAATAATAAAATATATATATTTTTTAAAAAACTTCAAACTTGAGAGTTGTCTCAGAACACTCACAGTAGGACCTTTAGTGTGTTTAAAGTTGCTTGGTAGATACAGTAAATGGAATGTATTTGGAGGATCAACCAGACCGGGAAGGACACCAGAATCTGTTCAGAGTGGATGCGGGCTTGGTTTGGAAAGACACTTTTCTGACCCGTCGAGGGACAAGGGATTTCCTGACCAGCTAGCTGGCTGCAGTGCGTCCTTCGGAGGCACCAAATCGGAGTTGTTCAAAATGGAAGGAGACACGCGTTTAGTCACTAAAGTTCTAACATAGTTTTACCGTTTTTGTTCAGGTTTTCTATCAGATGTTGCACCAGAAGAATGCTGGTAAGTATGAAAGGGGTTAATAAAATATTTGGTTTTGTTGTTTGTTTTTGTGAAGCACAGCTTTTAACACGTCAAAAACATTGAAAGATGCCGAAGCCGGTGTGGTTCAGTGGTAGAGCATCGGTCTGCGGACTGAAAGGTCCCAGGGTCGATTCCCGTCAAGGGCATGTACCTTGGTTGCAGGCACATCCCCAGTAGGGGGTGTGCAATTGGCAGCTGATTGATGATTCTCTCTCATCGATGTTTCTAGCTCTCTATCCCTCTCTCTTCCTCTCTGTAAAAAGTCAATAAAATATATTTTAAAAATAAATAAAATAAAATATATTTAAAAAAAAAAAACAAAAACTGGGAAAGAGATTCTACTCTCCTTGCACGCTAACAACTTAGCCTGCCACAGTTTTGTAGAAGCTGCAGGCCCCGAGGTCAGAGATGAGTTGCAGCAGAAGCAGGAGTCAGAATATCAACAATTTTACCCCAGTCCCAAAGTCAGAAGTCACCTGCACATGGAGTTAGGCTAAGGAACCCAAATCTTTTTTTTTTTTTTTAATATATTTTATTGATTTTTTCAGAGAGGAGGAGAGAGGGATAGAGAGCCAGAAACGTCGATGAGAGAGAAACATCGACCAGCTGCCTCTTGCACACCCCCTACCAGGGATGTGCCCGCAACCAATGTACATGCCCTTGACTGGAATCGAACCTGGGACCCTTCAATCTGCAGGCTGATGCTCTATCCACTGAGCTAAACCAGTTAGGGCATAGGTTCACATTCTTAAAATTGAATCTTTGTGCATATCTAAATTTTTGAGACTTTTATTTCAAGTATGCCAAATCTTTGAATGTTTATTGACAGCAGAATGTAGTATTTGTCTGTTATTTAGCAAATAAAAAGAAAAAGTGGAATTTGTAATTCTCAACATAATCAGTGTAATACTTGTGATTGTATCCACCAGGTAAAAACATATATTTACATAACATTTCGTTTTGCATTTAAGGTTTGTGTTTAAACAAGATTTTGTTTTCCTGTTGCCAATAGGTGCTTTTCTGATGTACGAAAAAATATCATCTTTAGAAAACAAATTTTAAAATATCTTAAATAAGCTTTTATTACTTTTAGGAGTTAAGAAGTCTCTGTTCCTTTGCTCCAAACCAGAAGACTTTGTTACCAGCATATAGAGTAGGAGTAATGTTGTTTAGAAATGAGCTGGTGTTGGAAAATGAAGATTGTCATGACTGTAACTCTATGCTGAAATAAGATTAATTGTCTTGGAAATACTTATTTGGGTAAGTATTTTTAATAAGTATTTTTAAATAATTAAAAATATTTAAAATTTTTGTAAAAATTAAAATACAAAATATATGAAATTTAAAAAAGTTCACTTTCAGATAGAAATTAATAGTGGTGGCACTATATTAACTTCAGACTTATGACATATCTCAGTATTTTTAGGTCAATAGTTCAGGAATTTTAGTAACTTGTAGCTAATTAAATCTAGGCTTGAGGAAATTTTTAACCAACAATGAGTTATACTTGAAAAAAATTTTAATTCAATTCAGAATGCTTAAAAATCATATTTAATTTAAAATATGCCTAGGTACGGTCCTAATGTAATTGTCAACTATGCCTTGTTGCTATTTATCACATTGTTTCTATGGGAAAGTTAATTCTGCACTTAAATCTCTGGGAGCCAGTCAGAGGCAGCTAAATTAGGCATTTGGAGATTCAAGGATACAGAGTCTCAGGATATTACAGGGTAGGACAGAAGTAGTCCTTCTGTCTAAATTAGGCATTTGGAGATTCAAGGATACAGAGTCTCAGGATATTACAGGGTAGGACACAGTGTTCATTCTTGTAGTATCATTGATTAGTTATTGTATTATTTTTCATACAAATAACTGTGTGCCCCACCCTGTATATATCTAAATTCACACATCAGGAGATACCATCAAGAGTAATTATTCTCCAGATATTCTAAATTGAGAGACATTGAATACTTACTCTTATCTGGGTAATGACCTCTATTTCACTTGCTGGCATCTATTTTTTTTAAAATATATATATATTTTTTTATTCAGAGGGAAAGTGGGAGAAAGAAGTATCAGTGATGAGAGAGAATCATTGATTGGCTGCTTCCTGAACTCTTGCACGCCCCCTACTGGGGATTTGAGCCCACAACCTGGGCATGTGCTCAGACAGGATTCGAACCAGGACCTCCTGGTTCATAGGTCAATGTTTAACTACTGAGCCACGCTGGCCAGGGTTGCTGGCTGTGTATTGTAATAAACCAGAGAATATATGTGGTTAAATGCCATGTTTTCCTTTTTTTTTTTTTTTTTAAGTTAAATTTATTGGGGTAACATTGGTTAATAACCTGTTTTCCATTTTTATTTGTCTCTTTTTTATTACTGGGGTTCTTCACTTTTCTTTGTAGAATTTCTTGCTAAAACCTCAGAATGGTTATGAAGTATATCACAGAGGTATTATTATAGGTAGTATGTACTTTAATGAATGTTTTCATGTAATTAAACCTCTTTTTGTTAAAATGACCTTAGTATCTTATTTTTAAACTGATCAATACTCTTTAAATACTGTATTCTATTTCTTAGACACTAGTGTGGTTCTTAAAAGCATGAACTTTGAAGTCAAGCAGACCTGAGTCAAAATTCCAGCTCTGACATTTAACTAATACTTAACCAACCTATCTAATACTTAAGCACTAGTTTACATATCTTTAAAGTGAGGATAATTCCTATTTTATGATATTTAAATGAGAAAATTATAAAGTTCTTAGTTAAGTGTCTGGTATATAGTGATCTCACTAAAAATATTATTCTTTTTTTTAAATGGTCTATACATACTAATTATAATTTTTATTTTGGTAATATGTATAATATTTTTACATGATATTCATTCATACCATCTGTTAGCCAATTTATTCTTTTCTCTTGAGATGTATAGTTGACCTATATTATCTTTTAAAGTAAGAGATTTAAGTAATTGTCATATCATAAGTAATGTGATTACTTAATCACATTACTTATTGATTATTTGGCACTCTGGTCAGGGCATATACCTAGGTTGTGGGTTCCATCCCTGGTTAGGACTCATACAGGAGGCAACTAATTGATGTTTCTCACATTGATCTTTCTCTCTCTCTCCCTGGCTTTCACTGTCTCTTTCTCTCCCCCCTCCCCTTTTCCTTCTCTCTGAAATAAGTAGGTAAATAAACGTAAAAATTGTTTAAAAAAATTATTACTGGTTCAGAAGAACTAACTAACCTCCATTCCAAGTAATTTGGTTAGAATTTCAAGTACAGCATCCTGTCACCATTTAGTTTTAACATTGGTATTGATATTAGAAATTGATTGCAAACTAAACACTTTTTTTTTGTTCACTATTAATCACCATTACAATTACCAACTTGAGATTTTTGTTGTTGTTTTTGATTTTTACAAAGGAGACTTCCCTTCTTTCTTTTCTTTTAAAAAAATATATTTATTGATTCTTTACAGAGAGGAAAAGAGAGGGATAGAGAGTTAGAAACATCAATCAGCTGCCTCCTGCACACCCCCTCCTGGGGATGTGCCCACAACCAAGGTACATGCCTTTGACTGGAATCGAACCTGGGACCTTTCAGTCTGCAGGCCGACACTCTATCCACTGAGCCAAACCGGTTTCAGCCAACTTGAGATTTTTGATGTGATTGCTAACGTTGGTTGCAGAATACTTCATCCAGTAGGAAAAATAGCTGATTGGCCCTCGGAAATCCAATCTTCTTATATCACGCTGAAGTTAATGAAAGTAGACTGTGCATTGAAAATGCTACAAGATTATAGGCCAGACAACTTCAATGAAAGCAGTGTGCTTTTATCATTCCCCACATTACAAGAGAACTCACCACCAACTAGAAGCTCTTAATCAGAAATAAGAGCTATTTTAAGCAAATTTCCTATCAATTCGTGATGTGAACCCCCTTCTGTCCTACTGGTTTGCTCACAATGCAACCCTTTATCTTTCTCTCTACCCATTACAAACTCAATGATCTTGCTCTTTTTCCTGTGTGGTAGAAATGTTTCTGTGCTGTGTAATTAAATACTTAATGATATACTGTTTTGTGCTAATCTCTGATTGTTTTAGATGTGCTGTATATTCTCAACTAGATTGTAGACTTTGAGGCTAGGACCATATGTAATATTTCTTTGTTAATGCTTTTTTTTAATTTATTTTTTTAAGAAACATTAATGTGAGTGAAATATAGATTGGCTGCCTCCTGCACATTCCCTCTGAGGGATTGAGCCAGCAACCCAAGCATATGCCCTAATCGGGAATGGAACCAGCAGCCTTTCAGTGCAGGGAACAGTGCCCAACCAACTGAGCCACACCAGCCAGGACTGTTAATTCTTTTTATGCTAACCATGACAGGCATTAATAATGTCTTATTGGGAAATCTAAAAATAGCCATTTGTTTTGTACAATTGTGACCAGAGCTCAAAGCAAAAACACTTCATGTCCATGTGGGATAGAAAGTACAGTTACTCTAAACACGTTTTTAAAAAAGTATTTAAAGTTTGCAAGATTTATTTTATTTTATTTATTTATTTATTTTGAATTTTGGGTGTGCCCAGATCCTATTCATCAAGATCTGGGTAAGCTCCTTAGTTTTTTTGTTTTGTTTTGTTTTGTTTTTTAAAATATTTTATTGGCCGATGCCGGTTTGGCTCAATGGATAGAGCGTCGGCTTGGGGACTGAAGGGTCCCGGGTTCAATTCCGGTCAAGGGCATGTACCTTGGTTGCGGGCATATCCCCGGTAGGGGGTGTGCAAGAGGCAGCTGATCGATGACTCTCTCTCATTGATGTTTCTAACTCTCCATCTCTCTCCCTTCCTCTCTATACAAAATCAATAAAATATATTTTTAAAAAAATAAATATTTTATTGACTTTTTACAGAGAGGAAGGGAGAGAGATAGAGAGCTAGAAACGTCGATGAGAGAGAAATATCGACCAGCTGCCTCTTGCACACCCCCTACCCGGGATGTGCCCGCAACCAAGGTACATGCCCTTAACCGGAATTGAACCCGGGACCTTTCAGTCCGCAGACCGATGTTCTACCACTGAGCCAAACCAGTTTCGGCTAAAGTTTGCAAGATTTAATGTTATTTTAAGTTTGGTCTGAATTTTGGTTAGTACATAGAGACCTATTGTTTAATATGAAGATTATTGTAAATTAGAGGCCCTCTGCATGAAATTCACGCATGGATAGGGTTCGTTGGCCTGACCAGCAATCAGGGCCAATCCAGGTCTTCAGGCTGCCGGCCAGGGCCTTCCCCAGCTGCTGGCCCTGGGTCCCTCCTTCATTTTGTGCTGCCCCCTGGTGGTCATCTCTCATCATAGCTAGTGATTGAACGTCTGGTCTTCTGGTCGAACTCCCGAGGTGACAGTTTGCAGATTAGCCTTTTATATAGAGAAATATTTTAAACTAATAAGTTTGGCTGTGATGATAAAAATGAGTAATTAGCATACATTTTTCTGTATTATTTTTAAACATTTCTAAGTAAGACTGTAAGAGAATAATTGTTTCATTACTTCTCTCAATAGCTTAATTCTAAATGCTCAAGGAATAATCCCCATAGGATCATAATAATACCGTGGATATCTTTTTTAGATATTCTATTTTCCATTCACTTAAAATACTCAAATATGAACTTTGCTTCTTAGGCAAATATGCTTAAATGGTGTCCTAAAATGCTTAATTATTTTAATTTGTTTATATTCACCCTATGTTTTAGCAGATTCACCCTATGTTTAATGCTCAGTAATGTTTATTAAATAATAGCTATATATGTAAAACAGAGTATTTAGGGAATAATATTTCTTCTTTTTCAGGGTATCCTAAATCTGTTTTGGAACCATGAAAATTTTGCTGGTTTTTGACTTTGACAATACAATCATAGATGACAATAGTGACACCTGGATTGTACAATGTGCCCCAGAGAAAAAGCTTCCTAACGAACTACAGGATTCTTATAAAAAAGGATTTTGGACAGAATTTATGGGCAGAGTCTTTGAGTATTTGGGAGAGGAGGGTGTAAGAGAAGATGAAATGAAAAGAACAATGGCATCAATACCTTTCACTCCAGGGATGGTAGAGCTTTTAAACTTTATAAGAAAGAACAAGGACAAATTTGATTGCATCATTATTTCAGATTCAAATTCTGTCTTCATTGATTGGGTTTTAGAAGCTACCAATTTTCATGATGTGTTTGATAAAGTGTTTACAAATCCAGCAGCTTTTGATAGCAGAGGTCATCTCACTGTGGAAAATTATCACGCTCATTCTTGCAATAAGTGCCCCCAAAACCTTTGCAAAAATGTAGTTTTGGTAGAATTTGTAGATAAACAGTTACAACAAGGAGTGAATTATACACAGATTGTTTATATAGGTGATGGTGGAAATGATCTTTGCCCAATAACCTTTTTAAAGAAAAACGATGTTGCCATGCCACGGAAAGGATATACTTTACAGAAAACTCTTTCCAGAATGTCTCAAAATCTTGAGCCTATGGAATCTTGTGTTGTAGTTTGGTCTTCGGGTATTGAAATAATTTCTCATTTGCAAGTTCTAATAAAGGAATAATATGCCAACAATTGAAATGTGTACCAGTTAAGATGGGGTACAGCAGCATACAACTAAAATCCCAAATGCCAGTGGTTTAAAAAATATATTTTTCCTTCTCACTTAAAGAATTACAGAGGTAAATGTCTCTTAAGGCTGCTATTTTGCTCTACCAATTTCAGCATTTGGCTACCAACTCTTGATATAAGATTGTTCTTCAAGCTCTCAACCCTCATGTCAACATTCTTTTTTTTTTTTTTTTAATATATTTTATTGATATTTTACAGAGAGAAAGGGAAGAGATAGAGAGCTAGAAAATGAGAGAGAAACATCAATCAGCTGCCTCTTGCAGGGGATGTACCGCAACCAAGGCACATGCCCCTGACCGGAATCAAACCTGGGACCTTTCAGTCCGCAGGCCGACACTCTACCACTGAGTCAAACCGATTTTGGTTCATGTCAATATTCTATGGCCAGCAAGAAGGAAGGCAGTGAGTTGCATACTCATTTAAACTGCATTGGCCAAAACTCAGTCACAATGCCCCCACCTAATTGCAAGGAAGGATGAAAAATATAGCTTTTATTCCAGATGGCCATATGCCTGGAAAACAGTGGAAAAAAGAGGAGAATAGAATTAAGGTAAGTGCAACTAGTGGTCGCTACCAAAGGTGGTTGATTATTCTCTTCAGAGAGAATAGTCATATATTTTACTTTCTTAGATATTTAAACATGATGCTTTATTCACATAGCTCAAATATGTATAATGTTCTAGTCCCAAATCAGTGTATTTTATTTTTTTAAATATATTTTTATTGATTTCAGAGAGGAAGGGAGAGGAAGAGAGAAACATCAATGACCAGAGGAAATCATTGATTGGTTACCTCTTGCACATCCCTAATGGGGGTTGGACATGTGCCTGCAACCTGGACATGTGCCTGCATCCTGGACATGTATCCTTGGTGGGAATCAAATTCCAGACCCTTCAGTCTGCAGGCTGATGCTCTATGTACTGAGCAAAACTAGCTAGCACTCAAATTAGTGTATTTTAAAGGTAGGGATGCAGTATCTATTACCCAAGTTTTCATCAATTACAGACTTTCCTTTTAAAATTAAATACAAATTGCCCTAACCGGTTTGGCCCAGTGGATAGAGTGTTGGCTCTATCCCAGGTTTGATCCCCTCAAGGGCATGTACCTTGGTTGCAGGCACATTCCCAGTAGGGGGTGTGCAGGGGATAGCTGATCTATGTTTCTTTCTCATTGATGTTTCTAACTCTATCCCTCTCCCTCTCTGTAAAAATAAATAAATAAATAAATAAATAAATAAATAAATAAATAAATAAATAAATAAAATATATATTTTAAAAGTAAATAAAATTAAATACAAATCAATGTTTCTCAAATATTTTAAACTTATATCAGCATCACAACTCTAACTCCAGTATACTGGTTTAATAAGTGTATTATTTCTACTCTTTAGTCTTGAGTGACATATGTAATTTGTAGAAATACTCTGTTTAAGATACTGATTCATGTAGAATGTTAGCAAAATAGCAAGTGATGTAAAAATGTTTATAATTTCATGCTAATTTCTAGGCTCTTTTGTTTTAGGTGTTTATATCCATTGTGTAAAATATTAGAATTTTTCTTTTCCACTATGGAAAGCTCTAGAAATAGAAAAGCTCAATATAATTTAATGGGGGGAAATGGGTAGGTTGTAATTCTTTCAGGATGAGAAAATAAATCTTTAACAGGTTAGGTTACATTTAAACACATTTACTCTTTTTTTTTTTTTAATATATTTTATTGATTTTGTACAGAGAGGAAGGGAGAGAGATAGTTAGAAACATCGATGGGAGAGAGTCATCGATCAGCTGCCTCTTGCACACCCCTACTGGGTTTATGCCCACAACCAAGGTACATGCCCTTGACCGGAATCGAACCCGGGACCCTTCAGTCCCCAAGCCAGACGCTCTATCCATTGAGCCAAACCGGTTTCGGCTTACTATACTTTATTGAGTTTTTACAGAGAGGAAGAGAGACGGATAGAGAGTTAGAAACATCGATGAGAGAGAATCATCGATCAACTGCCTCCTGCACACCCCCCACTGGGGATGTGCCCACAACCAAGGTACATGCCCTTGACCGGAATTGAACCTTCGACCTTTCAGTCCGCAGGCCGATGCTCTATCCACTGAGCCAAACCGGTTTCGGCTAAACACATTTACTCTTATAGATTATTATTTTTCTACTAGAGGCCTGGTACACGAAATATATGCACTGGGGAAGGGGAGGGTGTCCCTCAGTTCAGCCTGTACCCTCTCCAATCTGGGACCCGTTGGGGGATGTTCGGCAGTCAGACATCCCTCTCACAATCCAGGACTGCTGGCTCCCAACCGCTCGCCTGCCTGCCTGCCTTACTGATTGCCCCTAACTGCTTCTGCCTGCCAGCCTGATCAACCCCTAACCACTCCCCTGCCAGCCTGATCAACTCCTAACTGCCCTCTCCTGCTGGCCTGGTTGCCCCTAACTGCCCTTCCCTGCAGACCTGGTTGACCCTACTGCACTCCCCTACCAGCCCAGTCACCCCCAGCTGCCTTCCCCAGCAGGCCCAGTCGCCCCCAACTGGCCTCCCCTGCAGTCTTGGTCACCCCTCCCCCCCAACTTTTCTCCCTTGCAGTCCTGGTCCCCCTCCCCCCCAACTTTTCTCCCTTGCAGGCCTCCTCAACAGCCCTCCCCTGCCAGCCTGGTTGCCCCTAAATGCTCTCTCCTGCTGACCTGGTTGCCCCTAACTACCCTCCCCTTCCAGCCTAGTTGCCCCTAACTGTCTTCCCTGTAGGCCTGGTCCCCCCCCCCCCAACTGCCCTCCCCTGCTGGCCTGATTGCTCACAACTACCCTCCCCTGCTAGCCATCTTTTGATGGACATCTTATGTGATGGCATGAGGGTCAATTTGCACATTACCTCTTTATAGGATATGTTGAGGCCAGTAACAAATTACAAATTATGTAATTTGTAAGACTTTTATTTATTATAATGGTAGATCAAGTAATTTGGACCAGATTTTCTAAAGAACACATCTAGAAAAGCTGATAGCTAAACAAAAATTTTAAAACATCTGCTTAAAGCTTTGAGAGAGGTGATAACAATGAACAATTGCTACCAAAGCACAGAAACCCAAGTAAGTGAGCTGCTTTTTCCTAGAAGTGTCCACTAATTCTGTAATTATTGTCTAAGATGCTCAGTGGTTATTTTAACAATATTGTGCTACCAAGGGGAAGAGGCCTGCAGTGATAAACCTTTCCCCTTTGCGTAACAATTTCAAAACTAGTAAGAATGATCCAGAGCTGAAATCGGTTTGGCTCAACGGTAGAGCGTCGGTCTGCGAACTGAAAGGTCCCAGGTTCAATTCCGGTCAAGGCATGTATGTTGGTTGCGGGCACAACCCTGGTAGGGGGTGTGCAAAAGGCAGCTGGTCAATGTTTCTCTCTCATCGACGTTTCTAGCTCTCTATCTCTCTCCCTTCCTCTCTGTGAAAAATCAATAAAATATATTAAAAAAAAAAAAAAAAAAGAATGATCCAGAAATAAGCATACCTACCCAGGGATGGCAGCTAAGCATTTTTTTTTTTAATAAGTCCCTGAAATTGGATGGAGATTAAGATTTTTTTTTTTTTTAGAACTCCCAGGTGCTTGGCAGAAATAAAATTCTCTCAAAAGGATGTTAACATCCTCAGTAGGTAGACAGACTCCAAAGTGGCCCCCCACAATTCCTGTAATTGGTATGCCTTGTTTGTGTGTGGAGAGGGGGAAATACGACTTCCTTCTAATCAATAGGATACTACAAAGATGGTTATGTATATGTGATTATATAATATTCTAATGCCCATCTTATCGAACTCTCCCTTGCTGACTTTGAAGCAAGCTGCCATGTTATGAACTGGCCTTTGGAGAGGGCCACAGGAAAAACAACCGAGGATGGCCTCTGGCCAACAGTTAGCAAGAAGTAGGTCCTTGGTCCAGCAGTCCGCAAGGAACTATGAGCTGCCACCATGTGAGCTTGAAAGTGGATCCTTTCCCAGTGGAACCTAAGCTGAGGCCACAGCTGACACTTTGATTGCAGATATGTGAAAGCCTGAAATGGAGTCCCCAGCTGAGCTGTGCTTGGACTCCTCACCCATAGGACCTAAGCCAACAAATGTGTGTTGTTTTAAGACACTCAGTTTGTGGTGATACTGTTATGCAGCAATAGAAAATTGATCCAGTAAGCTTCTGCTGGTATTTAAGATAAATCTATAAAGTTTTGCAAGTACACTGTAGGACACAATAAAAAGCCACACCAAGAAACAATGAATACCCACAGAAGCTTCCATTTAACAGATCTGTGGGATATCCAGATACCGCAGTTTTCAGACACAAAATGAGGAGAGCTTGGGCAAAGAATTGAAAGCTATATTTTAAAAAATATATGGAAAAACTAAAGCGGAAAATTACCATGGCTGAAATTAGAATCAAAGGATGGATTTGACAACAGAACAGGCATAGTACCTTGTTTCCCCCAAAATAAGACAGTGTCTTATATTAATTTTTGCTCCCAAAGATGCGCTAGGTCTTATTTTCAGGGGATGTCTTATTTTTCCATGAAGAAAAATACGGTACACATTTATTGTTAAATGAAAATAAAGGAAATTTATTACCTGTATACGGTACGGTAGTATGGTAGTTGTCAACACAAACCAGACAAATTGTGAATCCTACAGTATCAAGAATTTACTCATTTATTCAATGACAATCATGTCATCATCTTTTGGAACATCATCATAACAATCCAATTCCTGAATTTCCTGGTGAATTTATTGTGACTCCATTTCTTTCAGAATCAGTAGACCAAATCTCTCATGTTTAGCCTAGGGGGGCCTTATTTTCAGGGGGATGCCTTATATTTCACTCAGAAGGAAACCTGTAAGTAGGTCTTATTTTCGGAGGATGTCTTATTTTCGGGGAAATATGGTAGAAGAGAGAAT